GTCATAATATCTTCTGGTACCTATCCCACAAATTATTGCAACTCTGTTGTATATTGTAGCATGTCTTGTTGCATTAGTAAGAAAACTGTTCCAGTCAGTAAAATTAATGAGTTATTTTCCTGTAATTAATACTGTACTATCATACCTCTTATAAAGGACAAAATATGTTCTAGAAGCTTGTCCGCTGAGTGAAACATCCGTTAAAAGAGGTCATTATAACATAATGCTTCTCGAGATGAGATCTTACATAAAAGAGAAATTATTTTAAATGACACGGTAAATGCCTTTAAATACTAGTACTATTATTTTCTTACAGAATAACTAAATAATGATTAAATGTGTCAAGATAGGTCCAAAGATCAGAAAACAGCTGAAGTTTCTTAGAAATACATACAGGAATCCCTCATTTAACGATGGTGATGTGTTCCTAAAAAACCTAACCTAAGCGAAATCATTGCTAAATGAAGGATGATATCCATGGAGAAGGCATGTTGACATTGTTACACATAATGAAACCATAAAAATTATGGAATAAGCATTACAATACACTAATGTGGCTTAGAAACGAAGAAAAAATAATAATATAAAAGTATAAAATAAGAAAAATTAGACTTTCCACTTCCGTCTCCATACAAAAAGTAAACATTAAGCAGCAAGCAAATGGCTCCAGCACAACAATAATAAAACAAAAATGGCTGTCACAATCAGTATAGGTAACAGTGCCTAACTTTGTACATTCAAATGAAGACTTTGATAACACCAGCAATAAATTAAACTAAATTTGCTAATACTCGCCAGTTAATTTTTTTGTAGCTTACAGTGTTGGTTTACCACCGCTTCATTGCTTCTACGATACACCTACTCCTCCTTCCTTCATGTCCATACTAATGACTTTCCTGGGTACCTTGGCTAGTTTACCAAAACACTCACTTGCAGGCTGTTTACCCCGACATAATGGGCAATAGATTTTCACAAAAACACACGAAGATAGCAAATATGAGGAGACCTACCACAATACAACCAACACAAATCTTGGCAGCTACTGTATATACCTGTAATTTGAGATGATCGTTGTTTATCCTAGATGATGCAAACTACAAAGATGGTGGCAGACTTTAATTTTGTTTGTTTTTTCACCAATATTTGATTGATTTTTTAAATGATACAATACCTGTACAGTGGGGTATGCTATAACGAACGGATCCTACTACGAATATTCCTATAACGAACGGTTTTACCTATAAAATTGAGAATGCTATCACGAACGAAACTCCTACAACGAACATTATTTTAAAAAAAAAATTTTTTTTTTTTTTTTTTTTTACTAATTTATTGTTTTTTTATTACAAGTATTAATGGCATTCTTTATTTCAGGGGTTTAGATGCATATGTATACACTTTTTTACAATTTTTACAATTTTATATATTTTTCAGTGTTAAGTGGTTGTATTTGGGGGCCTGGAACGGATTAATCCTATAACGAACGAATGCTATAACGAACAAGGTTCTAGAACCAATTAGATTCGTTATAGCATACCCCACTGTACTTACTTTTATACAGTTTTCATTGTATAGTACTCCAAAAATTCACTGCCATAAAACTCCTACATTAAGCAGGAAGTGTACAGAAAAAAATTTCTTACTAATAGACTGCACAACCTCTGAATGCTATAAGTATTTTTTTGTGAGTTAATCTTTAACTTTGAAATTAAATTATACAGGTATATTGCTGAACTTTTTTAATATCAAACTTGCAACAGGAGTTAAATTGTTTAATTTTATACTGTATATTAAAATACCTGTTCTCACTTAACTTACAACATTTGTTTCCATTAGGTGTTGTTACTCCTAATCTCAAGATTAAAAATGTCTACTTTAACCTTATGATTCCTAAGAACAAGGCAATAATGTGAAGGGTATTAGTTGACTACACATGGTCATGACACAAGTATACTTTGGTAACTCCTAATAGGAGTAATTAATTCACACACATACTCAATATGTGTCACATATACAGTGATAAAGTTTCAATCTAGTGTTTACCTTGAAATGTGGCCGTAGATCCTCAGTCTATGAACACAGTTGTCTGAAAATCCTGAGGATATCCGGAACAGTGTGCATCAGATGGTTAGTCTTTGAGCTACACTTATGAAATTGGCTCAGACATGAATTATGTATTCATGAGTCCAAATTCACATAATTTCTTCCATTCAAAAATCAGTCTTGGACAGCCAAATGGAAAACTTATAAGACACAATATTTACATTACATCTTTCACACAAAAATTATTCTGACAGCTAAATGTAGATAAAAGAAAAGAAACCAAAAGGCTACATTTAATCTGTCTTAAAACGGTTATCTTTACAAGAAAAAATTTAGTCCATTTGAATAAAAATAACAACCAGCCACTGCTGGAATATACTACAGCACATTGTACAATAAAATACAAGAAGAAAGGGAATCATTGTGAACACAGCTGACGAGTATCAATGGGTGTGTTCTGAAAATAAAGTATCCACCAGGAGCATGCAATTGCTGATTACAAATCACTGATGCCAAGAGCACTTTCTATTTGCAACACAAATAAGTGTGACCAAAAAGCCAGCACCTCTGATATCAATGATTAAGTTTGCAACTATCCTCCTAGTGGAGAGTGTAGTTATGAACACATCCAATATGCATCATGATCAGGGCACAAGTCGAGTCTTTAGTTTCCTTTTCTATCCTAATACAAATAGAAGGGAGGAACCTACAAAGATATAACCTGAGAGTAAAAACCACTGATCGTGTCGCATGTGAGGATAGCATCTTGTACTCCTCTCATAACGAAAAAAAGTTGACCCTTGACAACACCAGTAAACACTATGTTAAAGCATTACATTAACAAAGCATGTTACTACATAACTAGAAATGCTGATGCACATAATGTGCATTTTTTACTATCTCTCTGCATAAAAACTCTGGAGTAAATTCACATCTAAAATGTATAGTTAATTGCAAATACTCAACACTTGCTACTTTTCCTGAGGTAATGAAGGAGATAACATATGCATGATTAAACTACTTATGAGAAATAGGCATCAATGTGCATTAGATTGAAGATGCAACTTTGAAAATACCGAAATACTGTATTTAAATATGTGCCAAGAATGGAATGTTGCCACTTTGTAGATAAAACCTGTTGTATACAACAAGAAATTTCAATAGAAAATGTGTGCAGTATGGCTGACATACTTAAAACTCCACTAACCATACAAAAAACTGGAAAGAACTGGCAGACATACCAAATGTTTTATGAGGAGGGTGTCACATTACAAAGTCTTCCTTTGCAAGCATGAAAATGTCTTTCAGCTTGTGAAGTTAGCAAAAAGTCAAGAGAAAAGCAAGTTATAAGAACAACAGTATTGCCAAAGTACCCACACAAATGATGAACATATACTATTCATACTCAAGACAATGAGTATACTACTACTGTATTTACATTTACATAATAATAAGAACCCTGATATAACACTAGGTTGACAGTTGAGGTAGCAAACTGTCCTGTGAATTTATCACAAAACATTAGTATCTGGATACAAACAATTTGGTGAAGTGTTATATCAAGGAGCTTACTAAATACATCATACATTTCCAACACTCAATGATGCCTTGGCACAGTAGCTGCCACTAAGGTAATCTAACTGTCATTCCAAGTGGTTTCTCTACAGTTATTAGTCTGACAGCCGTGTCCACTTCAAGTAAACAAATAAATAATGCTGGAAAAAAAATATGAGCTAAATGGGACAATATTTCAGGCTCTATTAAATTTTTGTTTTTAACTTTAAACTTGTGTCTACTAAGAAACCACCTATATGTCAGAGGACGTTATTATATTGTTGGAGCCAACAAACAAATACTGTACTATGACGCTGATTGACTGTGTTTCCCAGGACCCTGGCATTAACCATGGGCGTGTTCATAAAAATTATTCTCAAATCAGATGGGAAGGCAGCACCTACATTGATAATGACTGATGTGAAGTCACCTGATTAAGAATTCATTTTTAAAAACATAGTGATATGGCTATGCTAAAAAGTTATTATACTGTAGTTCCTCATATTCTTGTCAAAACATTAAACTACGGTAACTAAATGCAGTCAAGTTCCACTACCAAATGATTTTGGAGCAACTCCTCTACTTAGTCTATGGAGACCCCCAAGAAAACAGCTCATGGTAGTGTTACACATTATCCTTTGAGTTTGCCACTGGCTAAAATACAGCAGACTTTCTCATACTGGTACACTTATGTACATTTCTTCTTGTTCATTCCTATAAATTTTTTGCTTATTTTAATCACTGTGAAATTGGGATCCATACATCCATACTTACATGAGCTTCTTACATTACTGATGCAGGTGAAGGCAAAACTTATGACCTTAAATATATAAAAGGCTTTTGAAGATTTTCTGTGTGTGGGCTTATTAACAAAGTGACTTCTGTATTTTCTAAATTCATGATGAACAATGCAAGAACTTTTCCCAAGTAACTGTATGATGGCTTCTACATACTGATTAACAGTTAATAAGCTGTTTCAGAATTACAAGTTTTTTTTAAGGATGCTAAAGATTGCAAATCTGGTATTATGACAATAACCCAAGACTTCTAAAAATGTATTTAACTCCATCAAGGCTTCTATTAAGTGAGGGTGGGAGGGTCCATTCCTGCACAGTTGATTGCCATAATTATACAGTACTCTTAATCAGTTGCCAAGTCACTGCATAACTATAAATTTAATGCAAGTTCCCACAGTCTAGCCACTATTGTACTTACTCAATAAATCAGATGTGAATACATCTGTTACAATAGCTGCACCTTTAACATGATACTGATTATTGTGTAAAGGAAAGCTGCAAAATGGAAAACAAATTGTAGGAGTAGCTGCTATATAGATCAAGATGTAATGCTTATCAGAGCTCACCTAGCTTTCTACAATACATAAGCAAAAAAAAATCACAAAATAAAATGGAAAATTTAATTTTTCATACAACAGAATATTATGCCACCTCTGTCAAACTCTCAGTGTGCATAGTAAACTAGCTTTTATCCATACTATCATTATGAAAATGTATATCATAGTGCAATGACTGCATCCACATTAAGAGTCCTCACCACAAGTCAGTTCTTAAATGATTGCACCACCAACTGTGCTGGTTTGGACCCAGTTTTAATTGTATTTAGTGGTTGCATCAGCTGCTTAATATAAACATATTCTACTTGTCTTCTATGACTGGCTAACTACATGTAGGGAGAGGATGACTAACGGACTGCCTGGCAAACTATCTTACCTACCCAAATTGGTTTCAGCCACAAAAAATCACAGAACTCTTCATACAGTAAAGTCGTATATAAGTTTTCTTTTTAAAAACCTTACAAAATCCTATCTACATTTCAATAAGAACACTAATATATTCTCACAAAAAGGCATTCAGTTCTACCATCAAAAGTACCATTGATGTATCTCCAAACTTGAGATGTATGGCCAAGATGAGCATTCATGCACCTCATATAAAAAAAGTTATGATCACAGACAGATTCTTTACACAATAATAAACGAATTACATTCAAAGCAACAGCTAAATATGACTATATTATCACAGGTAGGGAGGAAAAAAAAAATGATGCCTGGAGTAAGACATGATGACAGGACATGTATGATGTAACTGTATAAAATCCTAACTTGATTAAAGCAGTGATTTCAAACCTTATCATAATTATATCAGAAGGCTTAGTGTTATTTCACAAGTGCATACAACTCCATACACCATCTATGTAAAATTCCCATCACTTTCTTGATTATAAACACTTTTTCGGTATTACTGAGTTAGCATAAAATTGTTTTCTGTTTTTGTTTTCTTTGTTAAAAGTAGGGCAGTACATTACATTCAGTTCACTGTGTTTTCCCATTAGTAATTTTTATTGTACAGTATATAAATATCTGCTGCAATGACACTATCTGAACACACCACTCACTGAGAAATAAGCTGGGGATTCAGAATCTGAGTAAAGATCATACAGTAGAGGTAAGTTCCTTACCTTTTCTTTTTTCCTTGCTTTCTTTTCTCTCTTTGGCTTCTTTTCCATTTTCCTTACTCTTATCTTTTTGCTTATTGTCTTTGTTTCTCTCTTTACCCTCCTTTTCTGTTTTACTCCTATCTTTTGCATCTTTATTTCTCTCTTTTTTAGATTTTTTTCTTTTAGATGGTTTTGGAGATTTTCCTAAAAAGAGAGCTTCATGGAAGTCATCTGAGCTCAAATTAGACTCTTCAACATGCAACACTGAGCTAAGAGCACCGTCAGTTGGAGACTTGGGAAACTGGAATACTAACCGTCCTTTCTCAGGCTCTGATGCCGACCGTGAGACACGTAGTTCACCAAGGAGAAAAGGTGAGGTGGCTCTGGTAGCTTGGAGAGACAAGGACGATAGATGTAGGCATGTCCCACTTGGTCGTGCAGAGACTCTTGGTGAGAGACTCGCAGAACTAGGCACCACCAATGATGAAGACCGAGATCGACTATATATTGGTAAAGGCGAAGTGTCCAAACGGGCCTCAATACGAGACCTTGGCTCTGGTGTACAGCATAAGGGGAGTGTCAGGCTTGGTGACCGTGTTTCTCTGTGCTGGACCTTTGGGGAACGAGGCTCAGGTGATCGACAAATAGACACTCCACTGATATAAAGTGTTGGTGAATTGGGTATCCCTGTCTCAGATTCATATTCATTTGAACTCTGATTTTCAAGTTTAGAGGAATGAGATATTTGAATTCTAAGACCTTTCACATTTGATGGGGCACTACTACTCTGTTCTGTGGAATTACTTTCATCTTTATCTGTTCCTTCATCTACTATTAGCTGAAAAGAAGGCTCATGCTGAAATATTGGATCTAGGTTAATGCTAGCCCCACTCCCACCACACTGCTCATCCAATGGATTATCCAACTGACTCAATATACCACGCACTTCCATATCCATCATAGGGGAGTCCATATCTCCAATAATCTCTGATGCAGCTCCAGGATCAGTATTTTCAATATCTCCACTTTCGGATTCCATATCTATACTTTCCTGTTTAGGTTTTGACAATCTAAGCCTGGCTGTCTCTTCTGGATGGTCCTGATGAACATGATCAGAATCAATCATACATTCTGGTTCTTCAGAGTTCTTTAAGTCTCCCAAGGACTGCGATCTGCGTAGATCTCGTCTCAGGTCAGTGGACGGGCCAGAGATCAGGAGATGTCCATTTTCATGTAGGTCACCATATTCAAAATGCCCATCCTCTACTTCATTTGCCACTTTTGGAAAACACAAGAGATCCTTATCTGTTTTATTATCCCAGTCCTTGTCCACATTGAGATTCCTGAAGGAGGAATAAATATGATCTCTATTAAACAAATGAAACAAGATATAATTCACATTTTATTAACCACATAATGCACCTTAAGTCTAACCATTCCCTTAAAAAGGTAGTTACACTTAAAAGGTTCAGCCATACAAACAGAAACATAAAAATATATATACTGTACTGCATATAGAGCACACATACATAAATAAGTAATCTGACAAATGTGTAAATATTAAAATATATCAATGTACAGTACAGCACAGAAAATCAATATAAACTAAGACACATGCAAAAAAATATGCACAAACACAAAATTACCTGAGGAACCACCCAAATACATACAAAGATGCTAAAAAATTTAAAAGGGCAAAAAGGAAAAAAATTGAACTGTAGAGTATATGCATAAAATAATGATAAATTAGCCTCACATACTGTAAAATATTCTTTGATATACTCACCAACAGACTCAACCCAAATTGACACCTTGATGACATGCCAGTCATCATCATTATTGTGGTTAAGAGATAATTATTGAACAAAAGAGCATGTACAACTTGATCAGGAAATATTATATAGGTGCAATGAAAAAGGAAAATCTAAATGAACGTTTAACACAACCACCATTTGCAAAGACGCTGGCTGCTTAGCCTCAACATTCGCCATAGCAATGCAGCCCAGGTGGGATGCTGCCTCTGACTACCCCCTAGCAACAGAGCCCCCACACTCCACTCCCCTGCTCAGCTTGCTAATCCTTATGCACAAAGAAATGTTTATTCCCTTTATGTGCCTGACCTTGTGATAATTATTCTATTACTTTATTTTTTTTTCCACATTATGTATGTTGGATTATTGTACGTACAGTACATGTAAATGAATAATAATAATAATAATAGAAAAGTTACATATATCTACCCTAAATTACGAATTGAAAAACAACCATAACACTTCACAGCTCGGCGTGGTTGCGCAAGAGGGCTAAGGAGCTGTGGCTACAGTGACGAGTCTAACTTGGCAACAACACCCTCAGCAATGAAAAGATTATTTTTAAATCTTCATTTGTATCAGGTATTTTCAGATTTAAAGTGACATAATGTATATAGTGAGTTTTTTCTCTTCATGTAGCAACATAAAGAAAGAATCAAGGTGTATGGCAGGCAAGCCCAGGATAAAAGAGCTTACTGGTAAAGTTAGCCTACCACAAGTATGAACCAGTACCTATCAATCACTGTAAATGACCCAAGGAAATGCATGAATTTTAATCCCTCAAAAAAAAAAATAATAAAAAATAAAAAATGTGTGTATAGTTTCACTCTCTACTTTTGCATAAAAAATTTATCATAAAAACTTGAACTGTAATCGAGTACATACGGTAAGTGCTGAAGTTGTTGTGGTAAGCACCAACCATCTTCAGCAGTGACAGTAGAGGTGCGTGAGAGATAGAGAGCATTGGCAACACTGTGAGGGAGGGTGAAGACATTCAGCTGTTCGTGCTTGGAAACAAAGCACTGGGAATTTAATACAATGCAATAACTCATCTGGGGTTGAGTATGGGATTTTTTCTTGGTAAAATTGATTACAGTATTTTACAATGATGTTTATTAACCCGGCACCAAATGAACCTAAATAGTAAGATGTGAATTATGGTGAAATTGCACACTAGCATGTTAAAAGGGATGAGGGATGATGGAGGGGAGAGGAGTGGTCTTGCCAGTAACCCACTTCCCATTCTTCATTTTTCTTATTTTATAGTTTATTTTCTATAATTTATAAGTCACATTAGAGCATTGAAATGATATTTCCACAACTTTTATGTAACAATGACGTGTGCACAGCCTTCTGACAGCTAAGAAGTGCAAATGTGTTAGGATGATTTCTAGACTAGATATTTCACCACACACAATATACCCCTCCACTCTTATTTTTCTTATTGTATATCTTTATATTAGTGTACTATAGTATACAGTATTTTCTTTATTCATAAGGCACACTAGCACATTGAAATGATTTTCTGCAAATTCTGTAGTTACTTACACAAAACAATGGCATTAGCACTTAGTCGTGTGAAAGGTGGGTGAAGTATTTTGCCATGCTAGAAATTTAACACTTGTATGACACTTTTATCAGTTATTATGGTTACCTTTCCATTATATTAGATGCTTTTAACACTATTCATACATCATATGTGTTCACACACAGACATAGTATAAAACAGTAAATGATGCAGACGACGTATATGTGAAACAATTGACGTATAGTATAACAAAAAAAATTTCCTATACAGTATTTGTTAGCAACGTATATGTGAAATGATGTACTGTATATATCGATTCAACATATAGCGAGGACCCCCCCTGTACTGTAATGTACAGTAATAACAAACAAATGTGACTGGCTCATAGGGGTTGGCATACAACCATATTTTATAAATAGAATATAAATTTACAAATACAAGGTGTTAAACTTTGATGGGTAGAGTTTCATTATTGTACTTTTAATAGGTCTTGCCTTCTATCTATTGATTCTGGATGCTTGCAAGATATTTTCATGTAACATATGTCCACAAAGCAAGCACTACCACAAACAAACCAAGTTGATTTTTACATTGAAAGTGCTAGTAATGGGACCTTTAAAATAGTGCACCAACTGCTACCAGCAAGCACTGAATTGATTGATATTATTTTTTTTATTTTCCACAGCTACTTGATTTTAGATTACATGAATTAATAGTGATCCTCAATACACTGAAATGATTGTCTTATTCTTTTACATTCAATAAAATTAATTTTTTCTAAAATCTTGACTTACATGCTGCATGCTAATTGAAATGAGTGCTCTGCCCTTTTAAAATTTTAATTTTAAGTAAATTAAAACTAACAAACACAGTTAAATATGTTACAATCAAAACAAGAAAATGATGTGCATGCCAACCAAGAGGTCCAGTCAACAGCAAAAGTTTGTCCTGAGCCAGACTGCATGAATATGAGGCAGGTGATCTGGAAACACTGTATGGGAGAAGAGTTGACAGATATGCATTAAATGACTAGTTATTTAAGACTAATGATCAGATATTGCCTAAGAAGACATTTCTTGTATCTAACTTAATTAGTATCAATGTGTAAAATGTGGGAACTTAATGTTATTGAGAAATACCAGGTGTGTGACTTTGTTGCAAGATGATTCATAACTGGGGAACCAGATGGATATGAATACCCTGTATTCGTACTGCTGATGCCAACGATTATTTTTCATGGTCAATGAAACGTTCATTATAAAGTATTTCCATCACTAAATCTGAAGCGAAATCATTGCATAAAATGTCACAAATGTACATAATGAAAATACTGTATATGTCGACAGTGTTCGTTTCTCAGTATCATATTTGTCTCTATTTAACACCAATTTCTTCCATCCTGCCCTTCCTACCCACCTCTTTCCATTCTCTGCCTTGATTCACATTTTCTTCACCTGAAAAAAATCGTACAAAACCATGACCATAGCAAAAGGAGAAGAAAATGTACGAAAGGTGTTAATTAATATCCTTTCTAACTCCTTCACTACAAGAGGTCATTCCTAAGCTGAATAAAACCATCTGTCAGTAACCAGAATAACTGAAAATAGCCATTGTACTGTATTGGTGTTACGAAAGACATTATTGGTGACCATTCACTATCTATCACCCCTTTTAACCACATCTAACCAGAATACTTACATAACTAGTATATCCATTGTTCATATCAGTGTTCCAATTCCTCCCCCTCTCTTCCACCCTTCCCTCCCCATCCTGATTGTCTAATTTCTCTCCCACCTTCCTTTCGCCCCCCAGGAACCATGCAATAAAGGGATGTTGAGGTCTCGTTCTTGAGATGTACTATTCTTTAATGACCGTGACAGTCCGATAGATGTTAATTGTAAAAACTGAACTAAACAGCTATCCATGCATCTCTTCCCTCTTCACCGTCACCACCTTCCTCTACCTCACCATTCCTTTTTCCCTTTCCTAACAAACTGATTCTCATACACCATATATGAAGTACAGGTATTATCACAGAACCGTCTACCATCTGCTTATATTCGAACTGGGAGTCGTGGAAGCTGTGTTGTCCAAATGAGTGGTCGACATGCTTCAATGTGCATTTTTACTGCCCATTTTCATTATCCCAGGTGGCAGTTTGTAGTTCTTGAAATTAGTTAGGGTTATTGCAGGTGTACAGTAGGGTCGGGATATACACAGTATAGCGATTTTTTATTATGATTTTTTTTATATTGCGACTACCAAAATTATCTACATTTTCCAATATATAATGATAAATATATTTATTTCAAGAGGGAAATCGGGCAGGAAATATTTCAAATGTACCGCCATGGCAAACAAATGCGTTATTTGCTAACCAGAGGCACCACTGTAGCTGCTCACTCACGCATTCATGCTTTCCCGCACAGTCTTTCTGATTCAGCTCTTGAAAGCAAGCAATGCCGTAAATTTGCTATATCAGGTACAATGATAAGAATGAGGCAATGGAAATAAAGACACGTCTGCTTCAGCGAGAAGGAAAGCCAGCAAGTGATGTAAATTCACAGCAGGCCAAGGCTGGCTTCACAGCTTCATCAAGAGAGCTGAATTATGCTGCATGTCTCTGTCAGGAGAAGCTGCATCGGCCGACACAACTGCAGCGGAAAAAATGAAGATAGATTGGAAAAAAGTGGTTGAGGAAGGTGGCTATACTCCAGACCGAATCTGGAATTGTGATGAGACAGGAATAAACTGGAAAAAGATGCCAAAGAAGACATATTTAATGAAAGCAGAAGGATGCTGGCTGTGATTGAGCGGCGCGAGTGACGCGTCAGCAGCCGGCTCTGCTGCGGATTCCGACTTCTAAGGTGAGTGTAAATGGGTTGCTAGTGGCGTGAAAAGTGAAGTGAAGAGAATGAAAAGCTTAATTGAAAAGATTTAATACTGTAACTAATATTTTTGGTTTGTTCGTTTATGGTGTGGGACTGTCAAGTGAAGGTGGCAGTGTAGCGTCTACTGCCGAGTCTGGTGTTCCCGGGATGGCGCGTCACCTGCCGAGTCTGGTGTTCCTTTTTTTTTTTTTATGGGAATAGCCCACCCAGGCACAGGTATTTGACCCACAACGGGGCCTAGGGTGGTGTTCCCGAGTCTAGTGATCATTGTTGCTTTAGTTAGTAAGAAAATAAACTCGTTAAGTCAAGTTTAGTCACTTTTATTGGCCTCCAGAACCTAACCCTATTTTCCCCATTGATTATATGTAATTATATATCTCGATTTAGTATATGGTGAACATCCTTGGACTCTATCTCGTGATATATCCCGACCCTACTGTGGTAGACAATTTTTAATCTAAAAGATCTCTCTTACTGACATTAACTTTACCAACTTAGCGACAGTAAGTTAAGCAGACAACTTTGGGTGGTCCTAATTATGAGTTTCTCTTTCTATCCAATAAAGTCATTGTAGTTCCTCCCTCCTACAGATAATAAAGATAGTTGTAGGTTGTAGTTGTGAAATTTAATGATTTGGATTCAGAGACCATTGCATTGATTTTTGTGGTAATGTAGTTGGTATTGTGGTTATAGTACTGTAAGTTACAGAACTTCCACCCTGGAAAAACGCACTGTCAATATATAATTTAATTTTGTTTATATGTGACATATTATGTAATAATTTCTTGCAACTTCAAATTTAGGGCTGAAAATGCTTTGTAATGAATGTGTCATTAAGTACGAAAATACTTGTTGGTATCAACAGTATGAATAAATCATGTACATTATTTTCCTACATTTTACACATTGATGCTAATTAATATACAAGAAATGTATTCTTAGTCAATCTCCAAATATAAATCTTAAATAACTACCGGTAACCATTTAAAGCAAATCTGTCAATTCTGCCCCCATACAGTGTTACCGGATCACCTGCCTCATATCATTACAGGTTGGCTCAGGATGAACTTCTGCTGTTGACTGTACATGGACCCAGGGATCATGTGGTCACTTGCTGACTTCGGTCCAGATTCTCAGAAGGTTCACACAGTAAATATTCCTCATAACTAAAGATGAAAAAATGCACCAAACTGGTTTAACCGAGTAAAATCACAAAAATATGAAAATTAACATACCTTAAGCTGATCTCTTTGTTGGCTAATTTCTTTAGGAAGTAATCCACTGCAATTTCAGCACTTGTTGGCTGGTAGGAAGTTGCCCCTTCCGATACATCAGGGCACGGCCATGCAGAGGCTTCGTCCTGGCCTCCTGTCACCCTGCTACCACAGTATGATACCTCATACCCAAGAATGCTACTTGCTAGAGTTGCTCCTGGTCCACTAGCACCATCACTGCGCCCTATATATATATATATATATATATATATATATATATATATATATATATATATATATATATATATATATATATATATATATATATATATATATATATATATGTGTGTGTGTGTGTGTGTGTGTGTAATTTTTTTTTTTGCAACAAGAAAATTTACTGGTACAGTATTACTAAAAAATAAAAAAAGAGGTGTCAGGAGTTCTGAAAGGGTGGTACTAAAAGGTGTGGTGGTGCTGAGCGATGAAATATGGAATTGTGTGATAGCATATAAATGAGTCAATCCCAGAATATTATGGTTCAAATTAGGTAAAAGCACAGTGGGAAAGATGGGTTAGTGCAAGTACACATGCACTAGGCATTGAGATGAGAGGAGAAGCATCAATGTGAGACAGAGTGATAGCAGAGGTACTTTTGGACATGCTAATTAATGATCTGAGTTCAAAAACTATAAATTCGAGCTAATGCGTAGTTTTTGACACCTGGAAATAATTTTCCCCATTATAGATAGTTTCATTACGTGATTAATTTGTCTATTGTCGGTTGTCATTTTTTTCTACTTAAAATCAAGCTTTAGTCACTTAAACCCATTACTTTCCAATTTGAAAAAAATATTAGTGATAAGGAAATGGGGGAATATGAAGTGCCAAGAATGAATAAACATGGCATGAGTGAGATAGAAATGCTTGCTGAGAGAGGCTTATTTATGGAAGGTATTTGGTTCAAAATGAGAGATTCCTAAATTATATGGAGGCAAAACAATGGAGAAGATGAAGGATTGTTAAAGAGTATGTGTTCTATGGTGCTGGTGGACAGAGGACTGAAATATAAGTTTCCAAATTTGGATGCACTAAGAGAAGCTGATTAAAGAGTGTCAGATCATTATTTGGTAAAAGTGAGATTAACAAATAATGGTAAGTTCTGGGTGAGAGACTGTAAGCAAAATAAGGTTGTTATAAAAATTGGCAAGCTGAGGATAAGGAATGTGGCTGAAGAGCTTAAAAAATGACTGAAATAAAGTGGTCACTTGAAAATGGAGTTGAAAGGGAAGAGCGCAAAGAATTAGAACAGTTCAAAAGTACATTCCCCGAAACTGCAGTTAAGCAGTGTAATATGACAACAGGAATGAATAATAAGGGGCAATGGTGAGATAAGATGTTGGTAGTGTGAGTTAACAAGAAGAGAGCATATGAGTAACCTTTTGTATTGATTGTCTGTCTGTCTGTCTGTCTGTCAGGATGAATTGTTGATTTTGGGTCCCTCTTGAGCAGTTGTGGACTGGGATACTCTAGGGTAGTTCACATTCATCATCATCATCATCATTTTATGGCCATTTTCTATGCTTGCTTGAGATAGCTGTGATTCCCTTGCAGCTTCTCTAGTCAAGTTTGTATCTCTGAGGTCATTTCTTACAACCTCTCCCCATGTCATTCTTGGCCTATTCCAAGCTCTCTTCCATTCCAGATTTCAAACTCATGCAGCTCTCGACTTTGTTAGTCTACTGCTTCTTTATCTCCACATACCCAAACCATCTCAGCCTACCTCTAAGCATAACCTCGCCAATACCTAACCATCCTCTTAGCTTTGAAGTTTCCTATCTTGTAATGTTACATTACACAACCATCTCACCATTCTCATTTCAGCTCACTCAAGCCTATGTATGTCATTCTCTTTAACTGCCCATGTTTCACCACCATTCAACATTAAACTTCTCACACCGGTTACATGCATCTTTCTTTTCATTTGAAGAGAAGGTTCTCTTCATGTCAAAATGGGCAACAGCTCTCAGAAATTCTAACTCTTGCAACTGAATTAGCCTCACCACCATCTCCAGTACTAATCATATCACCCAGGTATCAGGACTCATTGACATTCCAGGGATATATCCCTAATGTTCAGTTTTCCAGGGTTATTTAGCCACATGATTATCTGCAAATTTAGCAAACTTCAAGTCTGCAACATCCAGTAGTCAAAAGCATATTGCTCAGTAAATCAGGAGTATACAGTAAATCCTCGAAGATCCGGACCTGGTAAATCCGGATTTCGGAAGATTTGGACAAAAAATTTGGGGATTCTGGGCTAAGAAGCCTCCCGAAGAAGCATTCCCAAAACAGGATGAAGGTAGTTTTAGGCCTAAAGCTTTTATCTTATAAAATGTCACAAACTAAACTTAGCAGAATATAACTTGCATTTCTGGAATCCTTGCAGATAGCAAATAATTTGAGTATAGACATCACATAGTTTGCACAAGAGATAAAATTTTTTGTCCTTTAATGTAGCATATTTTAGTACAAAGTGAGTACAGTAATGTTGCTCAAAATTATGGCTTTTTCACGGGAAAAAGTCTGTATAACTAACCCCAGTGGTCAGGATAATATGTACTGTATTTTTGGTGTTTTTTATATCATTATTTATCTTTTTTATACATTTAGTACATTCGCCGGAAGATTCGGACAAATGGCTTTTTTGGACAGGTGGTCCCCCTTTTAGTCCGGATCTTCAAGGGTTCACTGTATGTTAACTTCTAGGAAGGATTTTCAATGCTTAGGGCCCTAATGGAACACTACAGATGCATCCATTTGTTCTCCACCTGAGAAAGTTTATGAGTTTCACACAAAGGTAGATTATCTGTTATCAAAGAGAGGGAAACAGTGCTAAAGGGTTCTAGAAGAGTTAGCCTTTACAGTTCCAGTGATTGAGTTATGTAGCATTTACAGAAATTTACTTATTTCGAGACTGACTCGGACCCTAAAAACAAGGTTCAGAGCAGCAAGAAATTCGGCTCAGGAGTTCATTAAAATATAATTTTATTACAACGGCGTCCAGCCCACTGGTGGTGAGTGGTCAGTTACTTGTTCAACTCTCGTCAAGTTGCCATATACCGCTGTCTGAACAACTCATACTGAAAACAATGACATAACTTCCGAGGTTGATTGTATGGTTAGATTAATTAGTACAGAACTAATCAGTCTTCAGAATTTTAAGTTTTGTTTCAAGTTTTGGGGGTAGAGCTTCTCGGTGTCTTAAGAGTTGATCATCATACTTTATCTGCTGCCACCAACTGACCGGCACAAGAGGTATGTGAACTCAATTTTATAAGAGACTTTGGGTCATAACGTAGATAGAGGTTACCCTGATCCCCAGAAAGATACTGGGTATGAATGGCAACAGGGAAGGTTGCAAGATTAGTTTTTGTGCCCTCCTTAGTGTTTAGCAAAGTTAACACACCTACTGTCTATCACATTAAAACTTGGAGGTTCTTTTCATGTTCTATAGCTGGCTTCAGTTACCTGAGACAGGCATCAGGTTATACACAAAGGATTTATTTTAACATTCCAATTCATAACCAAGCCATAACCACAGGACTCAGATCCTTACCTCCTCCCTGTAGATCACAATGAAATTGCTTTAAAATGAGGGATGTGGTATTACTGATGCAGATATAACTAATCAGTGGATTAATACGAGTTTGTACTGGCTACACTTTCCAGGAGAATGGTCGGGATATTGCATGAGCTGTCTGGTCCAGGCTCAGTAATAAAATAGGATTTCAGGATTAATCATTCACTTACAGTAATGAGTCTCTTCTTAAGACATATTACAATAAATGCTCTTGAACATCAGCAATAGTTGTAACAAAATATATAATACCTTTAAACATTGTCATCAACAGTGGTAATGAAATATAAATAACCTTAAACAATGCCTGCATACAGGCAGCACATTCAGGTATAACTGTTCTTTAATAATATCTACAATATCCACAACTTAACATAATCACCAGTACTGGCTCATACCCTGAATACTCCTGGGATCCCCAGTTCCATCCCATCCTTGTTCTCTGGAATGCTCCTGCAGCCACGACAGTCTTCTCCTGGCCTCGTCTTCAATCATTTGGAGCCGAGACATTTCAAGGGCAATAAGAAGTTCCATACTGGAATCGCATCCTTCCCAAGATGAAGTCTCTCCATCACCTGTTAAAATTATTAAATTAATATTACAGAGTCTTAAGATAATAAATATAGCATGCCTAATGTATACTGTACACTCAGGTACAGTTCGAAATTTTATGATAAATTCTTTATGCAAAAAGTAGGTCGAACTATATACGCATAGTATTTTGGAGAGGTTAAAATTCATGCATCTCCGTGGGCTATTTACAGTGAATGCTAGCTACCCAGTACATGTTGGCAGTAGGTTAATATTACGAGTAAGCTATTTTATCGTGGGCTTACCTATTATACCCCCTAGATTCTTTTCTTATGATGCTAGATGAAGAGCAGAATGTACTTTTCTTCTCTCTCTCTCTCTCTCTCTCTTTTTTAATATATTACATGCACACAACCTCATACAGTATACAGAATGTGCAACAAAAAATTATCATAAGGCCAAAAACATAAAATGGAATAAACTTTCTTTGTAAGTTAAGGGTTCACACTGAGCTGGGAAGGGCGAGTGAGGGATCTCGGCTGTTCTAAGCTGTCTAAGATGTGTAATGAAACAAATGACAAATTTTGTCATCCAGCAGCCAAATGGCAATACTGTACAGTATTTTCTTTTGTTTTATTTTATTCCTCACATTTACTGGTATATATTATTTTATCTTATTCCTCATAGGAGTTGGTAACTGGTGGGAATTCAGTTTCAGAGTTAGTATCACTGTTCACAGTGTCAGCTGTTGTGGTAGTGGTTACAGCCAAGACACGTTGGTGTTGTCTTGCTACAAATTATGTCTAGGATTATACCTAGTATTTCTCGAAGCTAGGGTTGAATTATTCATGACATGTATGAAGAACACAGGCTTTTCACCAAACAATCAGGGGTTGAACTATACTGTACAGTCAGTCCCCGACTTACGACGGGGTTAGGGACCGACTACCAGGTCGTAAGTCAAATTGGTCGTAAGTCGAAAATGCAAAAATAATACATAGAAAATCTAAAATGGGTGTCTCTTTTTCTTCTCAGCACCACGAGAACTCTCACATTTACGCTTGCCAGCCATTTTAAAGGGAATTACAAACGAAAATTTTGTCAGTACACAGCGTGATCACTAACACATCGGGACTCAAAAATACGTAATTTGAAAATTTTTTGTACGACTGCGGCGGTCGTACGTCCGGGTGGTTGTACGTCGAGTAGGTCGTAAGTCGAGGAGTACCTGTATATGAAATCGGTTTATTTATGATTATACAGTAATCATGTAAAAAAATAATAAGATTAAATACAAAAAATTAAGAATAAACTCAGTTACAATAATTTTAAACCAAAGAGAGTATTTTTTTTTTCAGGAGATCCCAGTGAATGGCTGTTGGGAGAAAGAACTTTATACAATCCCCACAGTAAACAACTCCATTTTAAGAACAAAATTCTTTTGAAAGTGGAAGTACAAGGAAGTACTGGTACTTCTTCAGAGAAAAAACCAAAAGTTCATGACTCCAAGTTATGAATCATTGACACAGAAGGTTATATATGTATCAGCTTTATCTCTTTTACATTTGTAGCATTATCATCACGGAATGGCAGTTCCCAGAGGGAACCAGGCATCATAGATGTAGTGATACATACATTTTATTTTATACACCAAAGCACATTTTACTTTACATAACCTTCACTGTTTTACCTTGCTCTGGAAGATACTTGGCTTGCTGGGCACATCGCAAGGAGCAGTAATCATGGATAGCTCCAGTGCGAGGGTTACGGGCACGAGGTCTGGGGCAAGTCTTTCTGTTGCACTTCCCCAGAAGAGTCAGAGTCAGTGCCTGGTTCAGACTACTGTCCTGTTAAAGAAAGAGAGTATGAGTTATGTTACCTACAGAGAGGAGAATAAAATGTTTGGAAGACTTATACAACACAATGAATGTCTATGATGTAGATTATCAAGGGTGCAGTGCCAAATTTAGTGGTGCTGGAGCTCCAGACCCAGAATTGAGAGAATTTTTCCGGAAAAATTCCAGCTAATGGAGAATTCTGAGGATTCCGTGTAATAGGGAGATTACTGTAAAATAAATAAATAAATAAATAAATAAATAAATATATATATATATATATATATATATATATATATATATATATATATATATATATATATATATATATATATATATATATATATATATATATATATATTTATATTTATATTTATATTTATATATACACACAGTATACAGTAATTTCCCTGTTACCCGGAATCCCCAGAACTCTCCAAGAGTTGGAATTTTTCAGGAAAAATTCTCTCAATTCTGGGTCTGGAGTTTCTGGGGGATGAAAATTAGGCACATTTTCTGGAAATTTTCCCCCCAAAATTTCACCTAACCTAATCTCTTTGTACTTGGCTTTGGAACAAATTTTGCATAATTATTTTGTATTGTGGAGTACAATACTGTACCAGGACACAATCAGAAGAGATTAAAGTACAGTGTTAAAGCAGTGTTAAAATGAAAACATTTATTACAGTTATATATACTGTACTGTACATTCAGAAGTGTGAAAGTACCATATGTACAGGAAAAGGGAAACACTGAGAGTATCTTAGCTTTTGTCTTTATTCAAGACATCTTCAGGTCATGAGACCCACTAATCCGCACCCCAGCAATGGGTGACCTGACATTGTACTGTACATTATTACTGCAACAATCCTTTTGAATGCAGAACTATAACACACACGCACACACACACCATCTTTATTGTCTCACAATATTCATACATGTGGTACATAAGGTGGAGGAGAGTCTCACGTTCAGAAAATACATATAAAAGTATAAAGGGAAAATTAAGTGAAAACAATTGACATTTTACAGAAGCAATAAAAATGAAAAAAATGAAAATGATCCCAGTTTTATTTATTTTTTTTCAAGAGACATTCTTATTACCCCTACCCAAGCTAATTTTTCAATCATTCAATCCATTAGTTATAATTACTGTAGCTGAAAGAATATTCAATGCAGTAGTATAGGTCCCCCCCCCATACGCACTACATAGTGCACCATCTGTTAGACGATTACAGCACTTTCCTCAGTTGCTTCGTTATTCGCACCTCAGGTGATTCAGTCATATTGTGGCTGGCTGAGGGAAGGGGCTTTTGTCCACCATAATACAGTAATCTATGATGGCCAAGGCAGCTCCTGATATTACATGCATGAGGAAAACAGGAAAAATAAATAATTCCTAAAATTCAATAGTACAGGTTGTACCTCTCTAGTCCGGCATTCTGTGGTCCGGAAACTCCCGTGGTCCGGAACGATTTTAGTTTGTCCAATAGGTAGATAGGCAGATTTTTTTTTTTTTTTTTTTTTTCTTCTCTGAATTATTATTATTATTACAGGAGTATTAAATTTTTGCCCCTCAGGCCCCAATGTGGGTCAGTGACCTATGCCCGGGTGGGCTAATCCCCTTAAAAAAAAAAAAAGCCCCGGGAAATTAAGTTTTGTTTACATACGGCAGTTCGGCTGCACTCAATCTCTCTCTCTGCTTGTCTATCCCAGCCGTTACCAACACCTCTTCCCTCCCAGACCAGATATCCCTCCTCCTAGTCACAGGCCTGGCATTTGACATTATTAGGGACCTGCCACTCTTTGCCATAAACAGATAAAATGTACCGGGAACTTTCCCCCCACACACTCATCATTCTCTCACTTTATGTAACTTGACAGAACCTATGACCCTTCAGGCTTTTACGCCCTTAATGTACGAGTCATAAAGGCAAGTATGAACTTTTCATACTTCCCTGTTGGGCGCTGTAAACGCTTCTGCGCTTCACCTTGCACAGGATGTAAGGGGGTGCCCAATAAACTAGCCCCCTCGGGGGCAAATCTGAAATCTGAATCTGCTTGTCTATACAGAGTACAACATTTAACCCTTCAATATATATGAGCAGTAAATAAGTGTTGCTTTCATATTCTTATGTAGAGTAATGACGATATATTTTCACATGTGCGCACTTACATACGAGCAGTCTCACTTTTTTTTTACCATTAATGGTTAGCTACTTATATTGTTCCATTTATTAACATTAAATAACATTACAGGTACTTTAAGCAACCATATTCATTTTTTACATTAATTTTACTACAGCTACAATCAGGGTCTTATTTTCTTCAGTTTTATATGTAGAACCCATCAGTCACTGGTTTCGTAAGCTTTAACATAAACAATGCCGGCAGCCGTCTCGTCTCCTCTAATATTCCACGTATTATTAATAAATTGTATTGTTAATTTTGCACACACGTACATTAATTCTATAAAAACAAATTCAGAAACATTAATTAAAATATATATGAACAGTAAATTAGTGTTGCTTTCATATTCTTATGTAAAGTAATGACGATATGTTTTCACGAGTGCGCATGCGCACTTACATATGCGATCTCTCTTTTTTCTTTACCATTATCGTTAGCTACTTCTATTGTTCCATTTATTAACATTAAATAATATTACTTAAAACAACCATATTAATTTTACTACAGCTACAACCAAGGTCTTATTTTCTTCAGTTTTATATGTAGAACCAGTCAGTCACTGGTTTTGTAATCAACAAAAACAATGCTGTGTCATTTCCTCGTGTGTTTTAATATTCTACGTATTATTAATGAATTTTATTGCTCATTTTGCACACATAAACATTAATTCAATAAAAAAGACATTCAGTAATAAACAATAATGTATCTTTTGTACATAAGAGAAATGACCCTGTTTACACGATTATGCACGTCGTCTGCACGTTGGCGGGCCGTTCAAACCCGTCGAAATTCAAGTTTCCGCCGTCAAAATTTTTATTTATTTATTTTTTTGTGTGTTCCAATAAAATACGTTAAGAATTAAAAACTCGCGGAATTTGAGAAGCTACTATACGACATTTAACCCTTCAATATGTCTTCAAAGAGACCATGACGCAGAGAAAGTGGTGCTAGTGCTTCCAGGCATAAGCACAAGTCACTATCTATCCAGGAAAAGGGTGAATTTCCATGGTCCGGCAATTTCCATGGTCCGGCACCGGTCAGGTCCCGAGGTTGCCGGACTAGAGAGGTACAACCTGTATTCATAACTACCTCTTCATCAGAATCAAGATCTGGCCAGTCTAATAGTGCAGCCAAATTGGTGTGGCGGCCACGTGAGTCCTTCACCCATGGTTGAGAGGGATCCAAAGCTCTGCCCATGGCTTCAACATTCTCCATCTATTAAATAATTGGGAAAAACACAAAACTATTAATAATCATAATTATTTTCCTATATCAATAAAAAAAATTGCGAGACAAATAAGATCACAATAAGCTTATACGCTGCCCCCTCGCTTAACACAAGGGATGTGTTACCATAAAATGTCATGTAGACCAAACCCATAATAACATAGAGAGATAGGAGATGCATCTGGTGGACTCTAAAATATCTACTTAAACATGATGTTGTGGAGGCACTGGCATGTCCATGAAATCAATTCCCCAAAGTTTAACACTGCCACCATTTGCAGAGGCTGGCTGAGTCATGTGTGGCCTCCCCTAAGCCTCAACATAGCAAACTGGCCCGCCTGGGGTCTGCCCCCCGACCCTTCTACTGGCACACAAAGAAATGTTTATTCATTTTATGTTTTGGACCTAATGATAATTATTATTTTGGGGGGACATTCTGTATGTAGGATTGTGTGTGCATGTAACCGAATAAAAAAATAATGAAGAAAATTACTTTTATCTACAAGAAATTATGAGTTTAAGAAAACAATGCACCATTATAAAACACCAGCACAATCATTGGAAAATGTGGTTTTATGTGAAAAAAAAATCTGTCAGAGAATAGCAAGAGGATTGCCACTATGGAACCTACTGTAGATCCCAAAGCACTGAGTTACTTATGTGTGTTCTGGATGAAAGATATGCTGCTGAGAATGTCACAGGTGGAACAATTACCATCAAATCATAAGAAGCATACCAGGATGTTTTATAATAGAACTGTATAGCAAAAAAATTTGTTTCTCAAATGGTTTAACATCACTGTATATTTCACAATAATAATATTGCAAATTTGCCCATCTTTAAGAAGAAGAAATAATAATGCAAAATGATAAAGGTATGATTTAACATGCAGGATAAACACTAATATGCTTCTCTAAATAACAGGTATTACTTTAACCATTCACCAACAGTGATTAAATGCTCTAACTAGGTGGCAAAATATGGGGATGGCAATTATACTGTACATGTATAGTAATAAAGTGAACATGAAACACCCAGTAACAGTAACCCTTCACAATCATGGACAGACAAATGAATGTCTCCACAAGTATTTCACTATGAATCTGGGATACAAAAATAGCAGAATAATACAGGTGCCATTACACACTAAAGTCAATTTTCCTTCAGACTCATATTCAATAGAATGAATCTTTAGCAGCAAATATGACCCACAATCATAATAATAATAATAATAATAATAATAATAATAATAATAATAATAATTATAATAATAATAATAGTAATAATAATAATAATAATAATAATAATGTAATAATAATAACAATCCATTAATAATAATAATAATAATGTAATAATAATAATAATAATTATCCAGTAATAATAATAATAATACAAATAAATAATTTGTTAAAAATTTTGCTTACTTGTATACAGTGAGAAGGCAGAGCAGAAGGAGTGTTGCTAGCAGCAGACAAAATGTTATAGTTCAAGACCAAGGCACACCATCAGCACAACATCGATATCACCCTCCCCATCATTATCATCATCATCAGCATCAACCTCCTAAAAATTTAGGTGAAGGAGGAATTGGGACAAACGTAATAAGAGAAATAAATTGATACTTAAAATAAAAAATATAAAATATGAAAAATTTTAAGAAAATTAACAAAATCAAGTTTAAACCTGGATTATCTGATTCTTCTGACAGTTTATAATCATATACACAATAAAGTGATATGAAGTACTACTGTACAGTATATGGTAAACCAAAGTGGAGGCTAAAAATTCCACTTCATATACTATGTATACAGTACTCTTAATGTACAGTACATGTTGAAGATACTGTATAAGTATGTATGGGTCATCATACCTACTAGGTTAAGCCCTTTTCAGTCACTTCCTACACCGGTCTTAGGCCGGTCTCCCAATCATTTCCTCCCCTTCGTTGAGGATTCTGTCTCACTTGATCCACCTCATGTGAGAAAGGGTGAAGAGTTAAGAAAGAGATACAGTACAGAAGCCAGAAAGAGATTCCTCCAGTTTCAACAACATGGCCCATCCCTGTACTGATTACATGATAAATTGATCCTCAGAGAAAATTTATAGATTTGTCTATCAAACATTAACATTGATCACTCTAAACCATAACATAGGGATTCTTGTACAGGTATACAACTATCCTCATAAAAATATAGGTAAAATAACAAGAAATTGTATTGCAGGCAAACCAAGAAAGTCTCCCCTAACCTAAGCATACAGTATAAGGTTCTGACTATCAACTATTACCATAAAATTTGACACAGGGACCTTAATTTGGTGTTGTGCATTTTAACTAGCCCTTTCTCCTTCATATACTGTACTGCACTGTACTCTATGGTAATGATGCATAATCATGTAAAGTCTCATCATATATCTGTAACAGTTACAGAATCTTCCTGTGACAGTAACTGATGACTGTCTTGAAATAGGAATCATGCACATTGCCACTTAAGATGCAAATTCATTGAAAAGATACAATGATCAGTTTTGTGGCTACTGAGACAGGTAGCATATAACACCTTTCCCTCACAAGGTAGAAGCCCCTGGTAGGCTATATGTCAATCAGTTTGGGGTAAGGTCACATGAGTTAAGCTTTTTCTACCTCACTGCTTGACCAAAAGTGTTGTGGTAACCCAGCTGGTGTTCCATGGGGTCCAATACCAAGCCAGTAGAGCAGCACACTGATAAACTACCCTACCAATGTAGTGTCAAAGATGTACAGTACCTTACACTAAATTGCAGATAAATAATAATAATAATAATAATAATAATAATAATAATAATAATAATAATAATAATAATAATAATAATAATAATACTGTAATGATAATAATAATAATAATAATAATAATAATAATAATAATAATAATAAAAATACCAGTACAGTGGTCCCTCGGTTAACGAACACAATTCGTTCCAGAAGGTCATTCATTAACCGAAACCATTGTTTCAATGGGATATTGGGTAACTGGTTCCAGTTCACAGAAAAGTATATACAAAGTAAAGCCAGAATATAATTTACATTGCTTGAATTCTTTTAAGATAGTGATTAATTTGAATAAAAACAAGGTAAAATTTGCATTAGACATACAAATTTTAGATCTAATTTAAGAATTTTATTAAGGAGAGCAAAAATTTTATCTTTTGTGCAAAATATGAAGTTTATATTCAAATTATTCCCTGTCTTGCAAGGATTTCAGCAATGCAAATTATATTATCCTAACTTTAGTCTGAGGTATTATTTATTTTTAAACCTGTAAACCTAGTCTTTTTCCCCAAACGTTTCTCAGGAAGGTGGCGGGTGGGGGGGAGGGAGGGAGGGAGGGAGGGGTGACAGTCACATGTTTGTCAGTTGGCGCCTGTGGTGTGAAGTATTTAATTGTTAATTTATGTCCTTTAGATTGAGTTTTTGTTTTTTGCGTATAAAATTTAATAGAAGTGACCGGGGTGAATTTAATTTGCATTGCTGGAATTCTTATAAGATTGAATGTAATTAGTTTGAATGTAAACATAGAAGAGATCACTGAATTGGCTAAGTACCTCCTCAGCTTATCAGCTGATGTTCAAAACAAAATGTGATTTTCGTAAGGATTTCGTTAATAAATTTTTTTTCGTTAATCGAATTGAAGATTCTTATGGAAGGTAATTCATTAACCGAGGGACCACTGTAATAATAATAATAATGTAAAAATAATAATAATAATAACAGAAGAAGGATTTGTCTTAAAACAATCAAAATTGCTGTACTTCAAAAAGTCTACTGTAACCAATAGTACATGATTTGACTTGTATGGATTATATCCACCAAGGTTTATAAGCAGTGTCTTAAAATTCAGTGAATTTTAATTATGATAATGAACAACACACCTTAGATTACTTCCCAATACAGTGACTCATTTCTTCTTTCCTCTGCTATCCCCACCACTGCCAAGAGACCCCACAAACCTGCATTAATTAAAACCAAGCTTGAGATACTCAAGTATAAAGAAGAGAAGGAAACCCGAATGTTGAGTAATGTAGTGTACCGACTGTATATATATTATATTTGATAATTTGTCTTTTTTCAGGTTTATCACCTTAAATAATGTTTCGGTAATTGTGTAAAGCGCAGGAATAAACCAAAGTAAAGTACTGTACTGTAAGCTTCACAAGAAAATATCAGAAAATATATCACATTCATTCTCTTAGTTGCACATTATTTCCTTCTGTCATTTGCTCTTTCACCTTAATTCATCTGAATTGCCCATTCAATCACTGAAAGACCGAAAGTTTTTCCCAATATACATTATGTTTACCGTATCTAAGACCATACTGAATTCCAGGGAGGCACACAATAACAAGATAACACATAATCCAGGTTGCATAACAGAAACTCATTAAAATAATATAATAGGTGAAGAAGAATATTACATCATACCAATAATAAACAACATACAGTACAACTGTCATGCTAATACTTTAACATCAAAGCAATAATAAAAATTTTACTGGAAAAAAATTGCCATGCTAATACTATTTTGCAGGCACTAATTTGCACTACTATAATACTATATGCATGCAATTAGCATACAGTACTCTACAATGTACCATAAGTACAGTATATAGTCACAAATGAGATTACACTGTACAGGGTAATTCTAAAAATGTTGCACTCATGTATTCTATTCATCAGTACTGTATTATTAAGAGATAACCACATAAAAAAATCAAGGAGTAGTGCCTATTACTCAATAAACTGACATTAAAGTTAATACCAAGTAAATAATTTTTGGAAAGGAAATATCTGTCATTTGTTATCACCATTAAATTTGCAATGTGTCTTGATTTTGTGAACCTTGAAATGTAGCTGTAGCTGAGAAAAGCAAGGAAGAGTGAAAATCAAGCATAACCCAAGCCCTTTGTAGTGATCCCAAATTGTATTGTCATTTAACCAAACCATTCTTAATGTTCTCCTACAAATATCATCCTCAATCTTGATGTTTCTCCTACACTACTCTCACAATGCAGTGCCAAAATTTTCTCACATCTTAGTCATTCCTGTGTAATCAATGACAAAAAAAAAATTTGTCTTTAACTTTAACATCTAATGCATCACTCAAACGTCCACATATCTTAAACTCACTTCTAATATTACAATCCAAATTTCTCTCTCCTTATCTCCATTCTATCTCTGGGGAACTATTCACAGTGTATGCCACACAGTGGTCTCAGAATCCTCTCCACCAAAATTGATTTAATTCCTTCAGCTAATTACTGAACTTTTCTTAGTCCCCCCCCCCTTACTATTTTACACTAGTTCTGAGTTTTAAACACTCTTCCCTCACTCTTTATTATCAAATACTGACTACCAACTACAATCTTCCCACACTTTCAATTATATAACACATGGAATGCTTCTTTGTAATCTTATACTGTATTCAGTTACTAGAAATTATTGTGAAGGCATAGAATATGGTATCACTTTATCATTATGAAATATGACAAGATCTTTGCTTTGTGGACATGTTCATTTTAAAGCAAAGAATGGAAATCCTGAGGAAAAGCATGGAACAAATTGGCAGGAGCTCTCAATATTATGATTAAAACATTCGTGCGAATCATTTTGTCTTGTACGGTATGCTTACAACCAGGCTGGAAACGACAGGACTGAATCATTTTTGGCAAGAGACAAAATGAACTTACCAAAAGTTACCTAATCAATCTAACCTGACCTAAAAATCTTAGGTTATTTTCTGTCTTTATTAGGTTAGGTCGATTCCTTTTGTGTACTGTTCAAAATTAATTAGCTCCACTGTCTCCAAATCAGACACACAGAAGTCAACTGTTATAAAAAAGTATTCCACTGAACATTATAAAATTGTCTTAACATATGAACATTCAGTTTTCATGGCTACCCTTCTGGATATGCATTCTACACATTTAAACAAATGTACAATATCAATGAAAATCCCATAAAAAAAAATCCAGAATATTAAGATGGTGCCTTTACTTAACATATTTCCTGAAATTAACATTCATGTAATCTCATTTGTTAATATGGCATATCAATCATTAAAACATTTCAGTCTATAGATGCATCAAAATAAATACATGTACAGAAATCAGTTATCTACATATATGACAACATCAATAGCTTTATGAAATACACAATAACTACTACTGTATATATAAACTATAAATAATTATTTATCAATTGACTACTTGTGCACCTGACAACTCACATCATCAGCTGGGTCCATTCCCATAAGGCCAGGCAATCGTCTCTTGCGTGATCTACGAAGCGAAGGCGGAGTTTCAGGGGGTAAAAGACCCCTACTCACTGCCCGTACAAATTTATGTCTCCTGCGACGAGCAAGTAAGGTGGTGGCAATGATTTGCCCACGAGGTGTCACAAGATACTGACGAGCCACCATTTCCGACAGCTTCTCCGTTACCTCCTCTAATTCATTCTTAAAATTGAGAATTATTGTAGCTGGTTAATATGAATACATCATTTCTCCATGAAATTTAATCTATTACTTGAATTTCTATCTTCACAAAGTTATATATTAAATTCAAACACTATTTGTGAAAAAATAGCAATAAAAAAATTACTAGGTATCATACAGTATTTCATCTACCATGCAAAATATAAAAGGAAGAATCCTTACCTGCATATACTCAAAGATGGTTTTATTATAGCCATTATCCTCTAAATAATATCCATACACATAAGACCCACAGAGTACTCTTCGGGCCTTCAGTAACTCCTTCACTCCTTCTTCAACAAATCGAGTGCCCTTTTCTACTGCCGCTGAAGAAAGGGAAAGCGTGGTGGTCAGTATAATAATAATATTAATGATGAAAAAATAATAAAGTATCCATGCCTTGTGGAAGTCTTGATTCAACACAAGTTTAAAATTAACTAGTACTATACAGGTATCTAGTACTGTACCTTCTATGTCTGGCAATAGAGAAAATCAATCGAGTGATAAACATATAAAAATCAAAAGATACCTTGTCCTTGTTGCTCCTGGGATGGGAGGGAAGTGGCCAGGACCTCCATCTTGTCACGTGCAGTTTTTAATAAAGGCTCTTCCATTTTCAAGGAATTTTGGTGGTTTTTAAATCGGGTGTAATAGTGAATAAAACGATTCAATTCTTGCATCTGATGATTCCGAACAGTGGCCTAAACACAAAAGACATCCAGAGAAATTAAAATACCTAATATTGGTTATAATACAAATATATTAAGTGATTCGAGTGTCCAATTTTCAGTTGCATATTGTCCATGTGATAATAAATAGAAAATTACACACTGAGTAGATTAGAGAATAAAATAACTCACTTCAGAAAGCAATACTCCCAGCTTTTCATCAGCTTTGCTCTGAGCATCAAATCTGTTGCATCGGAAGTATCCACCAGTAGCTGAGGAGTGCTTCTTCCAGCTCTCCAGACACACCCAGCAGAAGTCAAATTTACACTGTACACAAAAGAATATGAGGGCAATTTTTTATCTTCTGCTGGAAAGAAACACAGTAAGGTGGAATGATGACACATTGGTCCATCATAGAGTTACACATTTTTTTTTAAAGTTCAAGAGAAATAACTTCAGAGGGTTACAATTATAACTCTAATTACTGTACAGTACTTGCAATGTAATAATTGGCACAAGAGAATCCCATTAATTAAAAAATCCATTATGCAGAACCATGTCAAAAACACTGTAGAGATACACCCTCCCATATGATAATTTTACTTTGTAAATATTTCTTACAAATCCATTAATAATCCAAGAGTACTGTAATTAAGTAACATTTATTATTATTACAGTATTAAACACAAAAAATGTCTGTTTCTACCAAATATATCCCCTCCTTCATTTTTAAATGACATTTCCATTTATTCTCATGATTTTCTCACCCAGATCACTTTCCTCAAGCACAGCTTCTTGTTCTCTTTAACGCCTTATTTATAACAACCTTTCTCCACATTTTCATCTGCTTTTCTTTTGCCTATTTCACCATCTGTTTTATTTTCTTCTAATCTCTCTGGGTAGTGATCCTCCCTTCTTTCATCACTCCTAACTTCCAACTAGCATTCATACACCATTGTCTCTTCCTTAATTAACACAGCCAACCATTCTTACTTCATCTCCATTTATATGAGACCTCTTTATCTAATTCTTAAAATCTTTCAACATTACTCTCTCTCTTTATGTTGTTGATTTTTACATTCATTTTCTCAATTATCTCTATCTGTTTTACACTGTACCTTCCATCAGTTATTACACTTGCTTCTAGCAGGTAATGGTTAGATACCCTATGCGTCATTCCTCTTAGAATGTTTATATTCCTTATCTTACATTTAAATCTTTTATCCTCTAGTTGGCATTTAATTCTACAACCCTTTAAGACCCTCATGTATACATACAGATTTCCTTTTTAAACTACATATACAGTACCCAATAACCAATCATCTCTTCGCATACACTTCTTTCCATCACTCCCCATTTCTATTAATTTCTGGCATGCCATATTTATAAAAGATTCCAACCACTTCCCTATCACTCAAATTCAAATCTCTCACAGTGTAGTTTTTTATTGTTATTCAAGTCTTCCCAAAACCTCTTTTTCCTCCTCCCCTCTCACTCTTTGGTGGATACAAAATCACATCAACTCATCTCATCACTCTTTAACACTTTCATACCTCTTTTTGATCTTACCCTGTCACCCATTCCTGATTTTATTCCCTGCACTTGTCTCCCCTGCCCTTCAATCTTAGCGTCACATAAAATCAGGACATCTATGTTTCTCTCAATCATTACTTAACACTTACCAACACTATGCCATCTGGGCTGGTGATTTAACTTATAATATTTTGAGATAATGCACTTCCCAATCCTACCATCCATCATGAGTCCATTGAGGGTAGGCATTCCATTGTGTATTTATCCTCTCAATGATCCCCAGGTTGATAGAGAAGTACACACAGGTGACCATTAAAGGGTCTGACAATAACTCCAAGACAGGCAGAATGAAAACCTTCCAAAGCCTGTTTACATTTTAAAACATCTTGCATTATTCAGTAGACTGAAGAGAGCCAATTTTGTTTTGTTTTAATTACCATAGTATGACAAAAATGAACAAGACACCAGACTGCAGTACAGTGATCCCTAGGTTAACGAGCGCCTCGGTTAACAAAATTTCGGTTAACAAATTACCTTCCATAAGATTCTTCACTTCGGTTAATGAGCAAACCCTCGGTTAATGAATTCCTTACGAATTTTTCCCAACATGTTACCAGTTCAGAGGAAGGAACATCTTGTTTGAGACTCTTCAACATAAATGCTTTTTTTCTGTTTCCAGTCAAATTATTGGTCATTTTGAAATATATTTTACATATTGACAATATATAATGCAGTGCAGTGTTGATTTAAAGAAAATAATCTTGAATTACACCAAGTGAACTAAAATTTTATGGTTAAAATGGTGGCATGGGGTGACTTCTCTTCTACCCCAATGCCTTCTCTTCTACCTTCTCCTCCACCCCCATTCTAATTCCCATTATTATCATCATCAACCAGGAGCCTTCTACATGCACACCTCAAAGTAAGTGTACTTTACTGCATTATTTTTAGTTTGTATGTAATTTTCGGTGAGCTGGAACCAATTACCCAAAAACCCATTGAAACAATGGTTTCGGTTAACGAGCAACCTTCTGGAACGAATTGTGCTCGTTAACCGAGGGACCACTGTACATAAAGTATGCAGTGCCACAACTGACCTTTGACCTTCAGTTGTGACCTTAATCTGACTAAAATTAGAACTTGGTTTTCTTCACTGTACAATATCTTGTCAGGATACATATTTCAGATAAAGTTTCATAAAAATTCTGGTTTCATCCAATCTTATGCTTAGGACAAAGAAATCTTTACAGACATACACACAGACAGAAAACAACAGAGCAAATTACACCAATGTTCAACAGGCATAAAAAATACAACAGCTATGTGAATACATCTCCCATCAATTGAGAGTAGAAAGCATTCTTCATAACAAAAAGCTTTCTTATGTTATTAAAATAAAATAAAATTCTTTGGTTTATCTTTATTTTTTGGTCTGATTCTGAAGGCGCACCAGTGATAAGTTGATACTTCCGAGATTATAAACTTCTTGTAACCTTAACAAATTTGCATAACTTAAGGATTTATTTCTTCACTCCTACAAGCTCTTTCCCACTACATTGTGTTATGACTGGAGTAAGGTTCAATGCAGCCCCCTTTTCACTCACTAGTATTCATTCTTATTAGCTATCCTACCAGATAAACAACATAATCAACCTTAGAAAACATACCTTGGAGCACTTCATGTGATTGCATCCCTCATTCTTCTGAATTGGACTCTTGCAATTTGGGCATGGCTTTGAATTGGTTACAAGCCAAAGGAAGTTGGCAGCATCTTCTGTTTCACCTGAACTTATACGTAGTTCTTCAGGCTTGATCTCTGCCACTTTGCTCTGCCATTCAATCCACTGCTCACAGCCCGAAGGTGAATGAGCTTCACCTAAACACTCCCTGAAGCAGTAATTCATATTGGTTACTTATTTATAAGTCTTGACTGATGAACTTTCCTTTCCTCCCTCCCCTTTTCTGAAGGAGTGTTTGTATAGACTGTTCAGTTACCCTGCAGCAGACTAACTATCATACCTAATCTAACTATTTAAGAAAAAATTTTCCAACAAAAGTCCACATGAAAAATCTAATTAATATGACATCAGAGAATCTAAATATTATACTGTGCTGCATTAAAAAATATGAATTTCTACTTTGAAACTCCATACCCTGGTTTTCATTAAAGTATTTGGATAAAAATAGCCTATAGGGAAAACATAATAATTTACTCTTACCAGCAAAAAAAATGGCCATTGCCACAGTCAACAGCATGGGATGTTTTGGGAGGAGGTTTAGTATTGGGAAAATAAAATGGTTGTGTTTCAAGCTCAGCTTCTGGGAACTTAACAGCTCTGCCACAGCCCGGAAGTGGGCACCATTTGATTGTCTTGTTTCTATCAACAAATGCCTGAAAATAGAGGAAATGTACATAATATGGAAGAAAAGTCCTTAGAAGACTGAATAACAAGAGTCAATTTTTTTAAATGATAACAAGAACTCAGATTTCATAAGATTGTACTGAGAAGTGATAGTTAGTGAGAATGTTCCTTTAATAGAGATTTTATTTCAATGATCCCAGGTTCTTGATGGAACCATATGACTTTTACTGGAAAATAAAAGACCAACAGTATACAGTAAAACCAAACTTGGTCAACTGGGGTAGAAGATCAGTGTGGGATTTATCATTGAATAAAAACCTGTGATAAAAAAAATTTGCTCCATTAATAACCATACAAATTTCAGGATCCTTACAGTTTTCAAAATTTCATACTTCAAAGTAAGGAAAGTATGTAAAATTTCCAGATTAACAGATTATAAATACAAGCCTTGTGATACCATGATAGCCATCAACCAATTAAAGATGTTTATATTTTCCCAGACATCCTAAACAGCTGAAGTATCGAATGGTTGGAACACTACTTCCAATTTTACTGATGAGTTACAAAATGTGAAATGAAAATTACTCTTTACATAAAAGTTAATCAAGTTACAATTACTTACACTTATACACCTTAAATATTTAAAATGCATAATATACTCATAAATTATCTTTGCCTTTGACAATTCAACAGGTATTAATAGAAGTATGGATTACACGAGTGACCATTGTAGCCCAATGATCTTTCTGTCTTTAATAAGTGAGCCTTTCCTTTAGAAGCCCTGTTTTGTACACACAAGAGGTCTAACTATGTAGTGGGAGGATAGGCTGCTTTTACTGTCTCTACTGCTATGGCTTAAAACACAATTGGGTAGACACTGTGAACCTAATAAAATTATATCTATAACAGGAGAATTCCATTTGCCCCCATTATAAATGCACATGACAAACAGTGCAGCTCATTTTTCCTCATAAGTTGGATGTGATGTAATATCTAACAATAAACTTCAATGTCATGTTGTAAAATTTAAGATGAGAGAGTGTGTAGTGTTCTTATTATTTATGCATTTTCCTCTTGCTTTCTATACTTTTCTTAAACACTTGCCATTTCTTTCCTTTCTTAAAATGTTATTCCTCTAATCTAACCCATGCATAAAAGAGAACATGGAAGATAATATATAGATACTTGAATATTTTTATCACCCTGTAATCAATATTCTTTGTGAATTCTTTCTTTATATAGTACAGAATGGTAATGAGACACATTCATGCAAAATACAAAAACATACTCACTTGAATGTCAAATTGCAAGTATTTTCTTGCTATCTCTGGACTAACCATCTTTTCAATAAAATCTACATCCACTAGAATATTACAACGGACGGCCGGACAGAGGATATGGTGTGCCCCGCCCTCCTGGATCTTGAGAGTGAGGTAACTCTCCCAGCACGTGGCACAAAACTGGTGCTGGCAACTTGTGCCTCCATGTTCCCCCAGCTCCCAGGCTCTCATCTCTCCATAACAGATTTCACACTGAAAAAATAAACATAGTAAATAAGCATAGTGGTGAATGGAAAGGTTAGGTTTGGTTTTGAAAGTGTGTGGGACTGGATGAGCAGTCCCATATTAAATAATGAATGGAATCTTTCTTTTCATCTGATTTGAAAAAGGGCTAGAAGGCAAATGCAGTACAGTACTCTACTTCATAGCCGAAATTTCCCCTGACCAGGTAAGCGTGTAGATGTTCCAATATTAGAGATGCCTTTGTTATTGTATCCATAATCATAGTCTGGTCCCATTATAATTATATACAGATTCAGGACTCACAAGTTAAATGAATAAAACTTATTTCTACGATTGTACAGTACCTTAGAAGCAATATGCAAAAGTAAACTTCTGGGTAATATCAAATCAGAGATGATCTTTATGCAGCAATTATATGTGTATGATAAGTCAGATAGCAACAAAAACACCAGGAGTGTTACAGCATTCCTACCAGGTTTTGTCCCTCTCCCTCCACATCTTCATCTTCCTCAATGCTTTCCCCTGGAATATGTGGAGGTGGGGGAGGTGTAATGACAGAGTTGGGGGGGGATGGAGTGATCATTGGAGGAGTGGGAGCAACAAGTTGGAGAGCAGATGCTGGAGGTGCTATGCCTGCTTCTTCACAGCATTGAACAGCATTTGTCATCCATTTTTCCAAGAGCAATGCCTTAGACCATTCTGAAAATATTCAACATGTAGGCCAGTCATCCTAAAAAAAATTGTAGTACTGGTCTCATTCAGGAGAAAAATAGAGATTGATTTTAATAAAACATTGTATGTTAGTTTGGGAAATGACACCTTAAACTTTTTACATCCCTCCCTACTTGATAAAGGAAATATAGAGCAGTACCATATGTCAAATTACTGTACACCTGCACTTATGTATCAAAGTATGGCTGGAATTGGGATTCATCAATAAATATACAGTACAGTGTTCCTATTAAATTAAAACAAGGAATATAACAGGATAATGTTTATCATAACTAATATACAGCAATATCATAATGTATAACAAAAAATATACACAGTATTGTATACTTCCACATTACCTGAGCAGTCCCTAATATTCTTTCTACCTAACACTCTTTCACATCTCCATTTTTGGCACATCTTATTATCTGCATCATCCTATTTACCCACAACATTGCTCTCAAACACATTGTTCTGTCAATTTTTATTTGCTAAACCCTCTTAGATATAAACGTCCATAATTATATGTCCCATATAAATATGGCATCCCCATCTTCATCTCCTATAATACAATTTTCTCTCTCCATTCATTTTTCAAGCCACCTATTACTTTCTTTCCTTCCCTATTCTGAAGTTCAATTTATCAGTGTTGTAATGAAAGAGCAGTAGGAGGTTCAAACAGGGAATTCACTTGGGAACTGTAGAGCTGACATTATTATCTAGAAGCAAAAGGAAGAAACAGAGTAGAAGCAGCAGCATTTGATGTGCTTGGGAGGTTTTAGATGAGTTAAATAAGATGCAGAGAGTAAGAAATATAAAATGGAAGAAGAAATAAAAAAGAAGTGACACAAGTGTCAAGCAGAAATGAAGGAGAATCTCCTTAGCTGGTCTCGCATATTGAGAGAATGAAATGTGAGACATTAGTAACACAAGTAAGTGTATAATTCAGAGGTAGACGATAGAAGGGCGAGAGCAAGACCACGAAGGAAATAGAAGGATGGGGTACAGGTTGCACTAGAAGCGAGAAGGATGGACATCTTGGTAGCAGCAATGTATGTGAATGAGCCAAGAGCCTGGTGTTGAGTAATTTGGGGGGAAAGACATGCTGCACCTGGATGGTGTAGGCTTGATTAAGGAATGAAAAGTAAACCTGATGGATATTGTATGGCCTTGTTGTAGAAGGGAGTACAGTACCAAAGAAGAAAAGACCTATTACAGTAATAAAAATGAAAGCATGACAATGAATGAAGGTTGAATAAGGCATTTATTCTTTATCTGGCCACCCTTTATTGAACAAGAAAAACACTTGATAAGTATACAGTAAAAAAACAACTAAAGAACTAAAAATAGAGTTATATAAGATGAATGACTAATCAGGTACAAAATGTCTAACTCACCATTATCCCTGAGTAGAGCCTCGGCAGTAAAGAGTGGAATATGCAGCATGTCTGCTGTCTCAACCAACAATTGGTCTTTTGCTTCTTGTAAGTCTTGTGCTCGCAGACCAGAGTATACCTCGTTGTCACATTCAGTCTCGACCTCGTTGCCAACCAGCTCCCCCTCATTAACCCCATCACTACTGTCAGCCTTAAAATGTAGAAGAAAGGGAACTCAGAGACTGAAATTTTTCATGGGCCACAAAAGACAAGCTGTATTGCTCAGAGCCTAACATATTAAAACATTAATAAAATTTTAATTTGGTACATTACCTTACGTTAAGGGACCAAATTCGTATAAACGAAAATAGCTTTCGTATTGTGAGAAAAATGTGCATAAAAAAAATCATAAAAGTGAATTTTCGTACCTCAACGTTCATAAAGCAAGGGATACCTTTACATTACAATACCGTACAGTACAAAAAACTACACAATACCCAGAAGTCACACTTACAAACACCATGCGTGATTCTAAATAAGTAGCCACGTCATGATGTGTTGATCTAACAGCCAGATCACAAGGTGTCAGTCTATCACGGTTTTCAATAAAAAGTCCAGCTCCCTGAGCCACCAGTAATTCCACACACTTCCGAAGACCTGATGCCGACGCATAGTGGAGTGCTGTATTCCCCTTCTGTAATAGACATAAAAAATATTTTGAAGAAATAATAATACTGTAATGTACAGCACATGTGTGCTAAGGGCCATTCACTTCAAAAAGCTGGTTTTCCGACATCATCGTGGAGTAGATTAATAAGTCTTTTTTTCTTTTATTTTTAATTTATTTTTACTCTTATTTTTTTGCCCCCTAGGCCCCGTTGTGGGTCGATGACTTGTGCCCTGGTGGGCTATTCCTCATAAAAAAAAAAGTATAAGACACTTTTTTATGCCCCCCTCAAAAACATAAATACAGTGACCCCTCGGTTAACGAACTCAATCCGTTCCAGAAGGTCGTTTGTTAACCGAAAAGTTCGTTAACCGAAACCATTGTTTCAATGGGTTTTTGGGTAATTGGTTCCAGCTCACCGAAAATTTCCTAAATTCAACAAAAATGGTAGAAAAGTTCACTTACTTTGAGGTGTGTATGTAAAAGGCTCCTGGATGATGATGATGATGATAATGGGATTTAGAATGGGGGTGGAGGAAAAGGAAGAAGAGAAGGCGCCATTTCACCCATAAAATTTTAGCTCTCTTGGTGTAATTCAAGATTATTTTCTTTAAATCAACACTGCACTGCATTATATATTGTCAATATGTAAAATATATTTCAAAATGACCAATAATTTGCTTGGAAACAGAAAAAAGCATTTAGTTGAAGAGAATCTCAAGCAAGATGTTACCTCCAGTGAAAACAGAGAGAGACTAACGCCTGTTTGCTGTGCTAAGAGGCTGGATGCCGCGCATTAAACTAGTCACTTTACCTTCAATTATGTTCAATAATTGTTAAAATGACTAAAAAATTGAATATTAAACTTTTAAAATTATTGAATAGTATAAACTTCTTGATATTTACTAAAATAGTAAGGAATTTAAGCCCTAGAACCGATTAATGTATTGGCGGACTGATACTAAAGCTGGTTGCCCGGTCAGTGCAAGCGAAAACATGTTGAGGTCGGTTCGTAAGAAATTCGTTAACCGAATTTTTGTTCGTTAACCGAATTGAAGATCCTTATGGAAGGCAGTTCGTTAACCGAAATTTCGTTAACCGAGGCGTTTGTTAAACGAGGGGTCACTGTAAATAAGAATATCTTAACTTGTCCTTCATTTTTTACACAAAATGTTACCCCCAGTTATCAGTGACATTACTCTTAGGAAGAACCTGTGTTCTAAGTGACATATACCATAATACAGGTTGTACCTCTCTAGTCCGGCATTCTGTGGTCCGGAAACTCCCGTGGTCCGGAACGATTTTAGTTTGTCCAATAGGTAGATAGGCAGCTGCCTTTTTTTTTTTTATCTGAATTATTATTATTAATATTACAGGAGTATTAAATTTTTGCCCCTCAGGCCCCAATGTGGGTCAGTGACCTATGCCCGGGTGGGCTAATCCCCGTAAAAAAAAAAACAACAACAAAGCCGAGGGAAATTAAGGCTTGTTTACATCCGGCAGTTCGGCTGCTCTCTCTCTCTGCTTGTCTATACAGAGTACAACATTTAACCCTTCAATATATATGAGCAGTAAATAAGCGTTGCTTTCATATTCTTGTGTAGAGTAATGACGATATGTTTTCACATGTGCGCACTTACATACGCGCAGTCTCACTTTTGTTTTTACCATTAATGGTTAGCTACTTATATTGTTCCATTTATTAACATTAAATAACATTACAGGTACTTCAAACAACCATATTAATTTTTTTACATTAATTTTACTAAAGCTACAATCAGGGTCTTATTTTCTTCAGTTTTATATGTAGAACCAATCAGTCACTGGTTTTATAAGCTTTAACAAAAACAATGCCGGCAGCCATCTCGTCTCCTCGTGTGTTTTAATATTCCACGTATTATTAATAAATTGTATTGTTAATTTTGCACACACAAACATTAATTCAATAAAAACAAATTCAGTAACATTAATTAAAATATATATGAACAGTAAATAAGTGTTGCTTTCATATTCTTATGTAAAGTAATGACGATATGTTTTCACGTGTGCGCACTTACATACGTGATCTCTCTTTTTTTCTTTACCATTATCGTTAGCTACTTCTATTGTTCCATTTATTAACATTAAATAACATTACTTAAAACAACCATATTAATTTTACTACAGCTACAACCAGGGTCCTACTTCTTCAGTTTTATATGTAGAATCACTCAGTCACTGGTTTTGTAATCAACGAAAACAATGCTGTCTCATTTCCTCATGTGTTTTAATATTCTACGTATTATTAATGTATTGTATTGCTCATTTTGCACACATAAACATGAATTCAATAAAAAAGACATTCAGTAATAAACAATAATGAATCTTTTGTACATAAGAGAAATGACGCTGTTTACACGATTGTGCACGTCGTCTGAACGTTGACGGGCCGTTCAAACCCGTCGAAATTCGAGTTTCCGCAGTCAAAATTATAAATTATGTTGTGTTTTTTTTTGTGTGTCCAAATATAAAACAGTGAATTAAAAACTCTCGAAATTTGAGAAGCTACTGTACGACATTTAACCCTTCAATATGTCTTCAAAGAGACCATGAAGCAGTGAAAGTGGTGCAAACGTAAGCGCAAGTCACTATCTGTCCAGGAAAAGGGTGAATTTCCATGGTCCGGAAATTTCCATGGTCCGGCACCAGTCAGGTCCCGAGGTTGCCGGACTAGAGAGGTACAACCTGTAATGTACATTTCTTTATGGGTAAGTACGAAGAAGATACGAATAACAACAATGATGAGGATTTGGGGGTTTTCAAGGATAGTTAAAGATCTTTATGATGTATCACTGTTTTGTTCTATAGTGGATACTATTTAAGTTATATAAAAGAAATGTATTCTTAGGCAACCTCCGATCATCAATCTTAAATTTAAAGTACTGTACATGTCAACTCTTCCCCATACAGTGTTACCAGATCACCTGTCTCATACCATGCAGGTTGGCTAGGGTAACTTCTACTGTTGACTGTACAGTACCTATCATGCAAGGTAAATGAAAATAAATCCTTATTTTGTAATTTTTTGTTTTTATGTCTATTTACAAATTAATCAAGTTTTTACACATTACTTAATCATTATAGCAGCAGGTTATAAAACTTGCATGGCCTCTTCAGGGTCTCGGGAATGAACCCATTTTTCCCCATAAATGATTAATATCAATACTATACTGTATGAGCATTCACTTAACGATGGCTTTTTGAGGCCCCTAACTCCATCCTATGATGGTAAACACCTGTACAGTAGTAACACTACATAATCACTAAATGACATTATCCTTTTATACTGCACTCGTGTTTTGTTTCAGTCGTGAGAATAAACCTTAAATTCTTACCATTGATTTACTGAGGTGTGTCTTATACACTGGCAAATATGATACTTTTTAAGGTGAACCATCCATTTTTCAAGTTATTTAAAAACACTATAAAGGTTGAGAAAACTTAGGTCTATCACTGAAATGTGAGCACACTGTTAATTTTCATCTCATTAAGGTTTTCTTCCATGTTTCTTTCTTCCTAGCTACTGGATCTTTATTTTTTGTTTCCCATACACAGATTCTATCATGTCATTTATACCTTAACTGTTATCAACTGTTATCCTCCCAGCTTGCCTGGGATAACATTAAGTTAACATCTGTTTTCACCAGCTTTTCTCATATTTCAAACCCCTCTCATTCTCTGTCAGCATATGTTTTGGCCTGTATATCCATTTCATTTTCATGTTAAGTTTTGCAAAATCCAGTACAGGTATGGTAGTAGTGTGATCCTCTTATCTTCCCTGCTATAACTATAAAAGTTTCTGATGCTTTCAAATCCTCTCATCTATTCAAGTATTACATAATCAGTTAAGGACATCTGATCATATCATATCCATGAGTGTCTATAGGGAGGAAAAGGAAGATTCACAAATGAAACAAATGAATACAATATATATATATATATATATATATATATATATATATATATATATATATATATATATATATATATATATATATATATATATATATATATATATATATATATATATATATATATATATATACTGTACTGTATATGTATATTGTTTTTCTATTCTCTGTCGAATGGTTATGTCTTACACCCATAGATTACTTAAAGCCTGTGAGAGCTAAGCTTGAAAAATAATTTCCCTGAGTCCTCACAGGGCTACAAATCCCCCAAAATTGCCAATATTTCAAACCTTCAGATCAGCTTTAGGCAATGCTTCATAAGTTACAGTCACTGTGTCAAATCAGTCAATGTGTAAAATATCTATGAACATTTTTCATTTCATGTCGTGCATGCTGTGTATATGTTGTGTATAGGTTAGGTTAGGTTTTTTCTGGGAAATAGCCCACACGGGCACTGGTTATCAACCCACAATTTGGCCGGGGGAGGGGGGGGAATAAAATTTAATAAAAATTAGAGGAGAAAGAATATGTTAATCTATACCTCAAAGATGCCAGTTATGTTAGGTTAGGTTAGGTAAATCTTGCTTCAAAATTGCCAGATGGCAAAAAAAATAAATATATATGTAAATAAAAAAATTTAAAAAATTAAAAATGATGCATGAGACCATGCAACTTGGAAAGCTGCCATTTTGTAAACAAGTCTATTCTATATAAGTGTGGAAAATGGTTGTATATCAGTGATAATGATGAAATAAATCCAAAGGGATGTAAAAAATATCTGCCCTCTATATTGTTTACAAGAAGAACAAAGGCTATTGGCTATGAGTGAAAGGCAAAATGTGAAAAACCAATCACACAACTTACCCTAACAGGCAACAGTGTAAGTGGAAACACAAATTAAAAAGTTTACCTTATCTTGTGCATTTAACTGTGCTCTCTCCTTCTCTCCATCCTGCAGTACTGGTCCACGCCACTGAAGTATCATAACGACACATGCAGCTCGTCTGTCCTCAGCTGAAGGTGATTTTGCTTGGCCGACACGACACACACAATGAACAGAACTTTCGTCATCTGCATTTTTCTTGTTTGGATTGCCACCGAGATCACAGAGAAAGGTCCTGCAAAAGATAAATATTACCTACTGATATTTCAACATTAAAGCATGTGGGTCACACATTACCTGGCACACCAACTTTTACTTTTTTCCCAACTTAGTGCACAATTGACCTGGTAAGTTTAACTCCCAGTGTACAAGACACAAAATTATACAATTGTTTTTAATTTATAAAAAGGTGCATAAAAATAACAATATAGTTCAGGTAGTCTTCAAGAAACAGAACCCCCTGTACGTATATGGACTTTCACACTTGCAGAAATTTTATTTTAATACCCAGGATTGTGACTGTATATTACAAAAATTCAATGAGACAAACCTTAATAAATGTTTCATTCCATGTTTGGCTGCATAGTGCAAGGGAGTGTTGTGGCCATGAGATTCCCCATAGCTGGCACTGGGATCAAGATTGGAACGCAATTCAGGAGAACTCTGAAACACCTACCAAGAAAATGGAATTTATCACTCCAGGTAATACAGTTCAAGGGCATGAAGTACATTCAAAAGACACTGCACTCTAAAATTCCATTGTGAAAACCGATGGTTTGAATTTTCTAGGACTATGATTACACCATCCAAATATTTATGTGTAATGACTCATTCCAAAGTTCTGTGAGTCTTGTGAGAAGGATGGACTTACATTTTTACACCTGGTTTCTTTAAATCCAATTGGATGCCCACAGCTGCCATATAAAGAATACTGTATTTGAAAACCCTCAAGTTATTGTACCTCAATGGCTGTGAGTGCTGACACCCACAAACCCAAGGGAGAAGGAACAGTGTCTAAACTGCCTGGTTTAGCTAAAACTAGGTTTTCAGGCTCAATCTCCACTTCTAGTTTGATGTTCTCAACACAAAGTTCTTGTTAACAATAACCAGTTAGAAAGTGAAAGGAAGTGGTACTATTAATACTCCAAGAACTAAGCAGACATACATACCAGAGAAAATTTCCCAACTTTAATCCCCAAACTTCAATGAATAGGGAATACAGAGTACTATATTCTAAGAAAGTCTGATAAATCCCACTGGGATCCACTTCAATCACACGGAATGACAAATAACTTTCCTGAAACCATAAAACAACTCTTTGTGACCTCCAATGGAGGAGTCAAAGGCATTAGGAAAAAAAAATTTCCTGAGGTATTGCCTGACCAATGCAACTGTAATTACAAGCCTTGGTGTTATTGTGCTGACCTGATCTTAGAAGAGTGGGTTAGATGTAAACAAACCTTACATGATATTATAAGACAAAATATCAATCTTACCTTAACCCCTTGTGTATGGGGGTCTCTCTCTACAGAATAAAATCGTCTGGCGTTAGCCAAATACAATATTAAAAGTGGTATCCCAATAGTGAAGGGGTAAGTAGAGGTATTTTATAAACCCCTTGTGTAATAGGGTCTCTCTGCTAAATAAAATTGCCTGGCATTAGCCAAATAAAATCTTAAAAAGGCATACCCATAGTGAAGGGGTTAATGATAACACACCGTGGTAACACCCCACTAATTACCCCTTAAAGCATTAACGAGCTAGGTAAAAAAGAAGGCATATGCTTTCAAAGGTAGGCAATTGGGGATTGCATACAAAAGTAAGGACTGACTCTGAAATCAAGATGGTAGAGTCCTGTAGATGTAGCTGGTATTACTGTATGTATAATGGTTGGGCAGACCTTTAGGCCTCTACCTTCAAAGAGTATCATTTTATTCCAGTCCACCCTACTAAGAAAGAAAGTTATAAGGGGAAGGGAGGGGCAATCATAAAATCAAGGGCGAGTCTATTGTCTCAGACACTCCAAAACATCTTAAGCATTAACATGTGTCACTTGGCAGAGTATCAAGCAAGAATCCAAAAGTTACTCTGCCCATAAAAGGTGTTTCAACTTGTCATTTATTCAATTCAGTGGTTTGAAGTTTAAAAAGGTTTATATAACAGATCTTAATGAACAACTAGCAGAAACTGAGAAAACCAACCCATGAAAGATTTTTAGGAGAATTTATCTAAACCAATTTTTTTATAAATAGCCAATCAGTTAGAAGTAAAACACTTTTAACAAAATTGTACAAGTTAATTTATGAGCAAAGGGCCATTTAATAGGCTTGCAATTTCCTGGTAAGCCAATTAAAACAAAATTAACATCCTAAAACAATACAGTACAGTACTACTCATAAAAAATTTAAAAGAAAATTTAAATAACATTACAGTACAGTACCTGCATAGCAGCAAATTCGTCGCCATGTTGAAGATATTTCTTGAACTTAGATGAGGCACTTCCCATTCTCTTCTGTGCTCAGTGCAGTCCTACTGCTTGCCACAAACCTCCGCAAGCACAGCACCACAGTCACAGCCTTCTCAGGCACACCAGCATCCCTCTCCTGCCCACTGAAAACAACTGATTTCTTAACTTCCATGTACAGGTACTTTACAGATATCACAAAGGGCCACCCTGTTGCACTACAACTTTATTATGGTGTAAAATATCTGATCCAGTCATATTATTGTCTACACTTAAACACAGAAGTTGTAACTTTTTGAGAGAAATATATGATTTTCTGAACAATTGTACAATGGACTACGGTATTTGGATGAGGAGGTAGAGGGGGTACAGTATATGTGTTGACAGTAAAGAAAAGAATGGTGGGTGGGAGTTCACTGTGAAGTGACTATTGGTTGGTACAAAGGGAGGGACACACTAACACAATTGGTCTGCCAACACTATAACATAAAATACTTATGCTAGAACTATAAACACTACATACATAACAGTAAGACAGACTGTCTATTCTTTTGTGCAGCAACTTGAAAAAATGCCTTAAAAGAGCACATGCCAGTAAAGCAACAGCAATGCCATGACAACACCCCCTCTTGGCAGGCAGCACAGTGTAATCACCTTGAGCAGCCTAGAGCAACTGGGGAGCAGAGCAGTGCACCTATCACACATGACTAGCCCCACCTACCACCCACCCACCTCCACCCCAAGGACAACACTTAAGACACCAATACCAACCTATATTGCACCACACACCACTAACTCCCCCTCCCACACACTTCTACTCACTCATCAGCTGCTTCATACTAACTCACACTTACATAGCCACCTGCTCCACACACACACACACTCCCATACTTACTGTACATATTAGTGGTACCTCTCTACTCACACGTACATGTGTGTGTGTATAACATCTCGAATCAGTTAATTTTTTTTACTTGAGTACATCTGATAAGTAGTCATTAGGGAGAGAGACTTATTCATTCCTGCACACACAGCAATTTACTGTACTGTAGCTAGTTACCAAGAGCAGCACAACACAGAGTCCCACTGTGGTTTAACAGAGTGTGTACAGTGTTATGCCTCAAAAAAGACCAGCTGGAACTGATACAACAAATGGGAAGTGGGGGGTTGATCCTAAAATTCAAAGTTATATCCAAGCTTGGATCAGGCAACTCACGTTTTGACATATACAGAACAAGCATTTTAGCACATACAGTACTCATACCTGCCTCTTAAGAAAATGATCGTAGGAGAACTACTGCCCCTTTACTGATCATAAAACTAAAAACTTGAATTGAAATTCAGTCAACCATTCAAAAATAAGCTTCAAAGAGCGAAAGACCCATTAGTGGTAATTATAAAGTTCCACAAGGAAACTACCCCTAAGAATCATTGTACCCAACAGGGAAGATACAGAGGGTTGGCCTAATAAACAAAAGTTTGCAACTTAGCCATAGACTATGAGGATTATAGAACACAGAGTGAACACAAGATTTTCCAGCCTTCAGAGATAGCTGATGCCTCCAAGTTCCCCTTAGGGCCACTGTTGTGATAGGAAGGTTCTGAATTAATTAATGTTTTAAATTAGTTCCAGCCACCATTATCAAGGAACCTGGAATTTCAACCAGTAGACTTTGTTCAGTAATATGAAAGATGACTAAGCCAAGTGCTAAGTTACAATATATGATAACCCTTCTCAATGACTGTAATCCTGTCTCTTGTAAACTATGACTATAAATTTTGTATTTTAAATAACTGTAAAGTTTTAGTTTTTTATAAGACTGTGTTTGAAAGTAACATGGCCATCTGAGTAGCCATCCATTCACCAATTCATTATCATCAAGCAGGTTGCATTCAGCATCTGGTTCAATACATCGCTCCTCTTTATAATAAACATTATGACACTTTTACAAGTGATTTCAAAATTAAACTTTCTCTTTCACACACTATTGAGAGACTCATTGTAAATCAACTCCACAATCCCTAAAACAAATGAAGCACAACTCAAAAATACTTTATTAATTAGCTATTGAATATTATGTGTTTATCATCAGTCTTACAACAACAAAAACATCAGACAAGTTACCTCTGATATTTATTCTTCACCAGTGTTCAGCTACATACAGTACATCTTTGTCTAGGTCATACAGGTTGAAGTTAATTAAAAAGCTCTACAATTACTGTGCAACATACTTTAACAACACCAGCACAAACATAACAATACAGTACCTGCTGTAATATTTAAGACAAAGGCTGAGAAATTGTGGCAACAAGTGACCTTCATGTAAGTGTGTCTTTTGCTCCACACACACACAGACACTATATATATATATAGTATATATATATATATATATATATATATATATATATATATATATATATATATATATATATATATATATATATATATATATATATATATATATATATATATATATATATATATATATATATATATATATATATATATATATACAGTATAAACAGTAATATACTTTCTCACTATGGTTACTAATAAAATTCACTTTGCAATGAATTTGACTTGCTGAAATGAATATTATGCAATCATTATTGAGTTGGCTGCTCATTTGGGTCAGTGGTTAATACATTCAGTACATGGAACAGCAATCTTCATCTCCACAACTTAATGTGTACACTCCTACAACTGTGTGGCAGATTGTTCTTGGTACACTTTTCCCAATCATAAAAATAAATGTAACTCCAGTATCAGTAATAACTTTCTACAGGTTACTAATAAAATTCATGCAATGAATTTCTTCTAAATGCAATATTAATTTTTTTTTAAATTCAGTACTGTACTGTATTTTATAACTCCTGATATTGAATTAAATTTTCAGATTACATATTTATGTTTTTTCTAAACAAATACCTGTCCAATACCCCTGTATTGTAACTGCAATACTATATACAGCTACTCCTCGACTTACGACCTACTCGACTTACGACCACCTGGACATACGACCGCCCCAGTCGTACCATTTTTTTTTCAAATTACGTATTTTTGAGTCCCGAAGTTAGTGATTGCGCTGTGTACTGACAAAATTTTTGTTTGTAATTCCCTTTAAAATGGCTGGCAAGCTTAAAAGTGAGAGTTTTGTGGTGCTGAGAAGAAAAAGAGACACCCATTTTACATTTTCTATGTATGATTTTCGACTTACGACCTGGATTTGGGTCCCTAACCCTGTGTATATACACCTGTGTGTGTGTGTGTGTGTGTATATATATATATATATATATATATATATATATATATATATATATATATATATATATATATATATATATATATATATATATATATATATATATATATATATATATATATATAATATTATATAAAACACACTGTACTGATAGTACAGTCAATACATTAATCCTAGGGCTTAAATTCCTTACTAAAATATCAAGAAGTTTATACTATTCAATAATTTTAAAAGTTTAATATTCCATTTTAACAATTATTGAACAAAATTGAAGGTAAAGTGACTCATTCTTAACACAGCAAACAGGCGTTCTCTCTCTGTTTTCACTGGAGGTAACATCTTGCTTGAGACTCTGCTTTTTTTCTGTGTTTCCAAGCAAATTATTGGTCATTTTGACAATATATAATGCAGTAGCGTTGATTTAAAGTAATCTTGAATTAAACCAGAGAGCTAAAATTTTATGGGTGAAATGGCACCATGGGGTGACTTCTCTTCCACCCCAATGCCTTCTCTTCTTCCTTCTCCTCCACCATTCTAAATCCCATCATCATGGAGCCTTCTACATACAGTCAACCCTCGCTTTACGCGGTCCCACTTATACACACTTTCCCTGGCACTATATACAGTACAGTATACATCATAATATCCCTCTATAATTAACAATGCTACATTAGTCTCATTGCCTTTTCTTTTATACAAAGTACAGTAACTACAGTATATGCTCCCTACCGCTCCCTACCATTAACAATCTGTATACAGTCAACCCTCGCTTTACGCGGTCCCACTTTACGCGTTTCCACGTTTACGAGGTACCCTGCTGAAACCGGAATGCTCACTTTCCACGGTGCGTGTACCCCTTTACGCGGAGAGCAGCTGGCGGTCCTCTCGCGCCGCGCCATTTTTGGATCCAAACCTCCCGCCCTCTCCCGGCATCCGCCATGTTATGTAAGCGGCGCGAGTAGGTTGCGCAGTGTATGTCTTTGTTGCGTTATCGGTGACGTCATATGACGTAGCGGACTGTGATTGATCAAAGCATCCTTACCTCCCTCCCTGCTAGCTGTGATTGGTTTAATGACGTGCCCCGCCGCGGGAGCGTTGAAGCCCCTCGACCTACCGTGTCAGTTACACCCCTCCAGGCTACACCGTGTATATATCGGTATCCATTGTTCCATAATAATGGTTTCCACCGGACCACCACCACAAAGAAACCTTGCATTACCTGGATCCAGCCGCCCTAAGCCAAACAAGACACGACGTTCCTTAAGCTACAAAATTAAATATAAGATCATACAAGAGTTGGAGAAAGGAACAAGACAGGTTGATCTCGCGCGCCAGCATGGTGTTAAAGAGTCTACGATCAGGACAATTAAGAAGGATGCAGCCAAGATAAAGGATCACATGAACATCACAAAGTCTACAGGTGCTTCTATGATCAAGTATTTCCACAACCAGGTGCTTCTCAAGACAGAAAAATTACTTGTGAGCTACTTGGTGCGTCAGGCGCGACGGAACATGGCGGTGGACATGCGCTCAGTTAAGGAGTACGCAAGTGAACTGTATGCTGCAGTGTCACGAAAGATGGGAATTACAGAGCCCAAACCCTTTAATGCTTCCTCTGGGTGGTTACAGAGGTTTAAGAAGAGAAACAAGATCACCAATATCAACATTGGTGGTGAAGAAGCTAGTGCTGACCGTGTTGCGGCTAGGGAATTTCCTCCGTTTTTAAGTGAGATTATGGAGGAAGGACAGTACACCGACGACCAGGTGTTTAACATGGACGAATCTGGTCTTTTTTGGAAAAAGCTACCTTCCAAGACCTTCGTTGTGAAGAATGCCAGCAAGTGTCAGGCCGGAAGTTGCAGAAGGAGCGCATCACCGTCCTG